AAAACCCCCCCCCCCCCCCCCCCCCCCGTCGTGGTGGGTGCACAGTACGTACATGCATGCGTGTTATGTATGTATGTACTGATAGTTTGGCTGTGTCTGCTTACGTGTATCCATCGTTCTTTGAATGTTTGAAAACACACCCACGCGCGCGCGCGCTGCTCTTGTCTGTGGATTCATTCGATCGGTCCCACCTTCACAAAAACTCCATCCACATTCATGTGGCCTCTTCTTTTCTCCGGAATGTGCGACACGCACCATGATGCTACGTTCACTGCCCTACAACATACATCCTGTTTGCATGGTGCTAAACGCGCGAATACAACGCTTCTCCGCCCGCCTGTGGGTGTATGTGTGCGTTTCCTGGGCGACAAAACGACTCTGATGAAATTTCAAGTCGTTTGGCGGTCTGGCATGCGCGACGGTGGGAGACGCAGCATATCAGAACCACGGCAAATGCGGAGTGTGGAAGGAGCGAACAGTGTGTACTCTACAATATTTATCTTCGTTTGCTTTTTGCATGTTCTTGCATCGCCCCCGGCCGCGGTGCTCTCTTTAGCCCACTCCGGAGGGACGCCTTGTATGTATGTATGTATGTATGTATGTATGTATGTATGTATGAATGCCACTTCAGACTGTCGTAGATTGTGACGTCAGATGACCTGTCTGAGATCTACCTTCGGGGTGTTGCCACAGATAGAGTCAGTGTATGATGGACGCTGAACCCTGCTGCAACAGGCTCGCTCCCCGCCCCCTACACACAACAAATCTATCTATCCGTACTCTTCAGCCTCTCCACAAGAGGTTGAACTGATGTGTATCCGAACTTGTCCACACGTGAACCTGCAGACACCCGTCTCGTACATGTATGTATGGCTCAGGTCAGGGCCAAACATCTTAGCTTCAAGTCTTACATTCCACAGCAGTAGCAGCGCCTAGTCGTGCTTTTTCTCGTTGGTTGGACTTTGTCGGGTGAAGTACAACCGCTGCTGAATGTGGCTCTTCTTAAAGAAAGGCAGTCTAGATTACATTGGCCTTTCGGTATGCGTGAGTTGGACACTGCGGGCCCCCGTCCCCGGCGCACGAGTCCTACAATACAATACAATACACACTACAGCAGTAGTCTTGCTCCCCCCGTTTGCCCCCCGTTCTGTAGACGCTTGTTTACGTCGGTTGTGTGTGTCTTCAGTTTAGTTTGGCTCGGTGGGTCTGCAGAAAATAGGACCAGCCGTTTGTTTGCGGTATTCGTCGTTCTGCACGCTGTAGACACATGTATGCCGGGACGCTCAACAAATAAATTCCACCAAATCTTGTGGGTTTCACACCGTCGGCAAACCCATCGGGACTGCCCTCGGTCTTTCTCCGCCGATTTCTTCAGTCGGAGAAATTGCCGTGCTAAGCGGTTCCCCGTCTACTGCTGTATACCCGTCACAAAGTACCCTTACCCTTCCTGATGAAATTGCTGCCGCCCATAGATACCATGGTCACAGCAGATCATCGCTGGCCCCCTGTCTTTTTCTCCCCCTCCATCTCGTACTCATGCGAATGTCGAGTGGGTTTTACGCCAAAAACGGAAAAAATATGTATCTTTCTGATCCAGACTTCAACAATCCTTCTTCATCGCCGCCGCGACCAACTCTTTTCATACTCGACCCCACACATGCTGTACATAAACGCTTCGGGAAAAAAGGAAAGGGCTTCAGATGACGCCGGGGCTACCCTACCCCCGGACTATTATGCTGACACACACGTACTAGTGTGTGTGACCGCCGGGCGTTTCTTCTCCGCATTCCGCACTTGGCAATATGATATGCATACGTTTGCTGTTGACTCTTTCCCAAACCAAGCGTGTTAACGCCGCCGCGGCCGTGAGGTGCAAAATACTGTTGTGCTACGTATACTGGTACCGTGTACACCCATCTTCAGGTAGAGGGTGGCGGGGGTATCATGCAGTAGTCGATTGCCGTTGAGCGTATCAAAATGACTGCTGCGGCGGCGGCATGTATCTTTGATGAGTGTGTCGTGCATTTTATCTGCACACAGCCGGGTAGACAGGTGCTGAGCACGTAGGTCGCGGTATGTATATGTGTGTGTGTGCATTTTTCATTTTTCCCGCCGTGGTGCCTAAAGAGCGTGACGTGCTTAGTCAATCACGTCGACAGCTAGAGGTACCGTATAGCTATCCGTTCTCGCCAGCACAGTAACAACAAACGAATCTCCTCCCTCGACAAGCAGTTGGCGTGCGTCCAGTTCGTGGACTCCAATCTCGCTTTCTCAGTGCTCGCTTTCAGTGCTTGCGGCACATACCGCGCGCCCTTCGACTCCGCACGCCGCACTCTCCGCACTCCATGTAATTTTGGTTCTTTGTGCGCGTTTTTTTCCCGCCGTGTGGTGTGTGGTGTGTGGTGGGTGAAATTATGAAATTATGGAGTGCGGTGCTTTCATCACACCCATCGTTAGGGAGGGGTGGTATCATGCATTCCGTCGAAAGTATGTAGAGGAGGAGTAAGTAGTGTTACTGTATGATAGTACGCACGTGCATGTAATATAGGGTGATCTTTTGAGTGGAACGAAATGGGTGTCATGCTCAGTGTCCCATCGAACTTCTCCGAGCATTCATTGACGGTTTTACAACATGTATGCAATGTATATACGCACGCACGAGCGTGTTTGTTTTTCCGAGCTTTGTCACTGCACCTCGCAGCTCAAACACCAACAACGCTCGCCGCCAGCCGACCAACATTTCGTTGCACGCCAAGAAGTACGCGTGTGTCCACTTCGTGGACTCCATGCGGACGCATCCAAATACTTTTTTGTAGAACAGTGCAGCAGTCAGATAGTCTCTTTTGTGAGGTTCTTCGTGTTTCGTTCAGGAATAACCCTTGGAACACTAGATATCAGCACTACCCCAGTGGTGTAGTACTCCGTGCCGTGCATTCTGAAAGATTTCTGAAAGTGTTGGGTATCCAAGCTGTCGGTCACACTGTTCAGCGCTCTTTTTGTTCGGCATTGTAAACACGACGAGACACAACGAAATTTATCAAGTCGACAATACCAACACCTACGCCATATTCCACTCGTCTTCTGACTTGGGACTTGGTGGCTTCACTCAGCCTGGCGGCGTAAAATAAGTCACACAAACCTCTTGAAATTTTTAAAAAATTTCTTTTCTGGTTGTATTTTCTCTGATAGGCACCTGCACAAAAAATACGAAGAAAACATGAATACATGAATTGCTCTGTGCATGAATCACAAATCGCCGAGCAACGGATACAGGATACAGACAGACCAAGTGTCGCATCATCTCCCCGCGTGCCTGAGAACTAAGCAAGCGCGAATGCGGTGGTGGTTGGTACTCCACCGTACAGCGGCACGGATGTATGGATAGGATTAGGACATTCAGCAAAGAACGCGGGGTAGCTTCGAATCAATAGTCCTAAAAAAAAAGTGGCACATTTTACAGTTAAATAGCATGTCGATAGAATGATGCGTGACCATGTTCTTCAGAAGAGCACCGGCTGCGGACGGAAGACGTTGCATTTAGTCTATTTAGAGCAGTTTTCCGTGTTATAATTTTTCTGGTCGTATTTTCTGAACGGGGGCGAACGGCACACACCTGCAGAAAAAACATGAAGAAAACATGATGGTACACATGCAACCGTTAGCATGTGGTGTGTCTGCACTTTAGAGGCACCGCAATCCAACCTGCTACGTATGTTCAACATCTAGCAACGCGCAGAAGTCAGCACACCAACGTCACACCACTGCACAGATAGAAACTAGAGTCGTTGCGGCTGCAGCAACTAAAAATTGCTGTTGCTCTCTTTCGTTCAACTTCACAGCAGAGTTAAGGAATAATAAAAACACACGCAAAGACTACCCATTCGAGATATACCCACAACAGAGTATGATAGCATGCGGGAGAGCGGGTCAATGATGTCGTGTGTATTGTTGTTGTTGCCACGTACTCTGAAGTGAGTGGCGTCAACAGCGAGAGGGGTGTGCGCATGACACGGCGAGCAAGGAGAACGAACAAGCGAACACCGGCAGCTTGGGGGCCGCTCTTTTGCCCACACGGCGACTCACCGAGCGGCCATAGCCTTGGCTTCTCCCTCCGTAAATTGCCTGCCCGTCCCGAGGTGCTCTGTTAGCGTTCCTCCTGGCATGTGCTCGTAGATGAGGTACCAGAATCGTTCCTGTGGCCGGAGGACAAAAGAGACAAAAATCCAAGTTAGGTGCAACTATCGGGCAGTGGTGGAACGAACCACAATCGAGTCATCATGGGCGAGGCACGCTAAACGCTAAACGGATGTTCGAACGGTAGGAAGACCATCGCGGCACGATGCCACCATATTTACTGACAAAAATCATGCGGCCGTAAATAGGCAAATTGCTCGCATGTTGGTTTGGCAGCAACGCCTACATGCTGGTTGGCAGCAACGCCCACTGGGGTTCTACCAGAGCGTTCGGCACAGAGGGCGACTAAAGTTCTATCAGAACAGCGGCAGACCTCGGCGAGGGACCCAAGGAAAGGAGGCTTGGGTTTGAGACTCGATCGAGACCCGCACAAAGCGGCAAGGAACTAGCGTAGAAAGTTTTGCAATCCAGCTGGCGCCACACAGGGTGCGCGACGACCCAGTTGCAAGCTCACCTCTGGCTCGGCGATGACGTCCTGTAGCGCCAGCACTGCCGGGTGCTTTGCCCTTCGGAAGGTTCGAACATCTTCGCCTACCTGAGCCCTCTCTGCCTTTGTCAGACCGAAGACGAACAGGCACTTGACGAGGCACTTCCTCCCTGCGTACACGAGCCCAAGGAGGCAGACACAGACACAGAGAGCGCAGACGGCGAGGTCAATGACACACTCCAGGCGAAGGAGAGGGGGGAAAGGACTACGATCGTCCGCAAGACTAGACCGTGAGAGCTGCCAGGCAACTATTGTAGATGCAGAAACACTAACACTTGTTGCGAGCTGGTTGAGAAAGAGAGAGCGAGTGTACACCACCGTCATTTCATCTAAAGCCGATTTTGTCACCTTCATCTCCTCGTGTTTGACCTTCGTGAAGGACGAAGGTTTCTGTCTTGAGCACCTCTTTGCCCAGCTTGAAGAGGTCACTGAATGAAGACGGCGGATGTGATCGTGCCATGGCTGCACTTGTTGACCTCTCCACCTCTTCTACCTCTCCCTCCACCTACTGCCTGCAAACACGCGGTAGCACCTGCGATCGATGCTCGACCTTTGTTTTCTGACTTGGAGGCGTTCTGATCATTTTTTTTTATTTTGTGAAAAAAAACTGTCTTTTTTTTTCCGCAGCTGCTGCCCCCATTCGCGCTTGTCATAACAAGAATCACAGGTCCATCACTCAGCGGCAGGCACACGCATTGAGAGAGCGAAGGCACACAGGCGGAGAGACACGAGCCCTCGAGAAGCAGCAGATTTTGTGAGAAACCATGGGAAGGGGCGGCAGGTCAGCGCATGCCTTTGCGGCAGGCAGAGACGATAGGATTGTCAGGGCTCAGCACATCTTGGAGGGGAGCGTTCTCGCTGACAATAAGACAGAGGAGCTCAAGCAGTTCGCGGAGGAGAGAGGGCTCAAGACGAGCGGCAAGAGGGAGGACCTCCTGATTGCCCTGCACCCGTTCAGTAAGGTGCGCTAACAGTAGCTGTCTTGTGCCTAACCTTTGGCTGAACAAATGATGTGAGAATTTACGGTCGTCTGTGTGGCATGGTTGCCTTCCCCTGTCTGTCCGTCTCGCTCTCTGCCTCCGCGTTGCATGCAGCTGGCCCACGCCCCTGGTTGTCGACCCAAGTCGCCAGCCACAGGGTTTTGTCTACGAAACCTAGGCATGAGCCATGCACGTACTAGGTGCCGTTTCCGCACTCGGTGAAGGGACCTGTAAAGCTAGTTTCCCTTTCCCACCTGTCGAGTGATGTCATCCCATGACGTGCGCTTCGAAGCGATGATGCACACGTCGCCTCTGAAAAACAAAATTGTAATATATTCCACATCAAAAGATACACCTCAATTTTGTTTTTCTCTGAACGCGGCAGGCGTTTTGCAGATGAAACGATTAATTGAGATAGCCGTGGGAGGCTTGTCCGTGTTCTTAGGTTGATTCGATCTCATTGCTCTTGGGTGGTGTTGGGTTTTGATTTGGCCCACGTTGTCCGTTTTTTCTTCTTTTTTTTCCTGCCAATCCCTCCGCGTGACAAGCATGGGACCAGATGACCAGATGGCGCCGTATGCATCATTGTTCGGAAATGCGTGCGTAGGCGCACTGGCTCTTCGCGTTTGAACCATTGTCTAATTGGGGCGAGAATACAGTAGTCGAGCGAACGCAAGCACCGCAGGGGAGAGGTGGGAGAGAGAGGTGGGACATACACACAAAATCCCTTTGCGTTTCCGTCCCTCTTATTTACTATACCGCGGCCAACATGCCCACTGCATCCTTTGAAAACTATGCCGAAAAGGTACAGAATGGCGCCGGAATAGAGGATAAAAACACACATACCTCACGAGGTTAACCATGGCCTTTGGGGCTTTTCCCGTTTTTAGCCGCATTGGGACTTGCGTTTTTTCATTGGCCAGCCGGTTGACCCCCGGTTGATCGTAACAAAAACCATATGGTACGTACGAAGGAGTGTGCCACAATGCAGATGACCATGACATGTGCTGTCTCCCGCCGATGCATCTCTTACACCCGACCTCCACTTTTTAAAATCCTTTTGCTTTCAGGGCATCGCCCACCGGTACCCCGCCCCGAAGCCGCTGCCCCTGGCGAGACCACCGTTCAAGTTCTCCGACGTGCAGAAGGCCGTCCCTCGGCACTGCTTCAAGCGGAACCTGGCCACCTCCGCCACCCACCTAGCCTCCGACCTCATCATGGTGGCCACCTTCGGCTACCTGGCCACCTTCATCAGCGGTGGAGCCATCCCGGCCTGGGCAGGATGGCTGCTGTGGCCGACGTACTGGTTCGTGCAGGGGACGCAGATGACCGGCGTGTGGGTGCTCGCCCACGAGTGCGGCCACCAGTCCTTCTCCGAGTCGAAGACGATCAACAACCTGGTGGGCCTGGTGTGCCACTCGGCCCTCCTCGTGCCGTACCACTCCTGGCGCATCACGCACGCCAAGCACCACAACAACACGGGCTCCTGCACCAACGACGAGGTGTTCTGCCCGCCTGTGCGAACCGACAACGGGAAGTCGCCCACGGCGGAGGAGGACATGGCGGAGCTGGTGCACGAGGCGCCGCTGGTCCAGATGTTCTGGATCATCTTCATGCTGGTCCTCGGGTGGATGCCCGGGTACCTTTGCTTCAACGCGACCGGCCCGTCCAAGTACAACGGGCTCGCGAAGAGCCACTTCAACCCCTGGGCGAAGGTAAGAGTGGGGGGGGGGGGTCGTGTGAGTATTTGTAAGAGCTTGGGGGGCACGGCGGTTGGTAGTTTTGGGGACCTGCGTGGACGAGCTGTCTGCCGCTGATGTGTATCGTGTTCGTCCGCACATCAAAATTACATTTGGCGTTGGTAAGTCCCATGCACTCTGAAGTCGCGCTTTACAAAAGTGCCGCAGTTTTGTCTTTCGTAACACCACAACAGTTATCTTGTCAACACGGCCGCAGCGTCGATGCAAAAGCAGCATTTTCTAACCTAGCAATGACCCACGCCTGCCACTCTTCAACCATCGTCGCCGCGACCGTGAAAATAGATGTTCGAGGAGCGTGACCGAATGGACATCGTGACTTCGGACCTCGGCTTCTTCGTCGCGGTGGCCGGCATCTGCTACGCCGTGCACGCGCTGGGCTTCCTCACGGTGGCCAAGTTCTACCTCGTGCCGTACATGGTGACCAACGCCTACCTGGTGCTCATCACCTACCTGCAGCACACCGACGTTTTCATGCCGCACTTCCGCGGCAGCGAGTGGGACTGGTTCCGGGGAGCTCTCTGCACGGTGGACCGGACGTTCGGCCCCGTCATCGACCACGTCATCCACCACATCGCCGACACCCACGTGTGCCACCACCTCTTCAGCAAGATGCCCTTCTACCACGCGCAGGAAGCCACTGAGCACATCCGAGCGTTCCTGGGAGACTACCACTTGTCGGACACTACCCCCATCCCTAAGGCGCTGTGGAGGTCGTTCACCTGCTGCACTCACGTGGAGGACGTGGGCCACACGGTATTTTACCAGGCGCACTAAACACCCATGGGACGCCTCCGTACTTGGGTGTCTGTGTGCGGTACGAGGAGCTGGACGGGCAAGGGGGTGGGGTGGGTCCTGCGAGGCTGCCTTGGAACTCCTTTCTCGTACATAGATAGCTAACCTTTCCCCCGTCGCATCACGTTGTGCTTGGGGTCTACTTGCTGTGGTTGGTCATTTTTTTTACATGAGGATAGTGAAGATCTATTTTTGTGTCAAGTTGTGTGCGTTTGGTGTGGATGGTTCGATTGTTTTGAAATCAAGTGGCTCGCACTCCAGGGCGGATGGAATGGAGTACGAGCGGGGGGGGGCGGGAGGGCTGCAGGCGACAAGTGGCGGGTGGGCGCTATGGGTGAGCCAAAAACTGGGAGCGACACGCATGGCGCCTTTGTTGTTCATCTTCAATAGTAACAGAGTCCAGGCTAGTAGGGGTCGGGGGTGTTGGATGGAAGTGCTGTCGGTGGATATGACAATTAATCGTGTGTGTGTTCGGCGATGAAACAACAGTGTGTTCGTGTGTGCTTTTTGATGTTTCGACGTTACAATCTATGAGCTGGTTTTTTTTTATATTCTCCGCATTTTGAATGGCCTCTTGCTTACGGCCGCTGGCAGGAAGCCACCCCCCGTACCTGCGGCACAATCAGTACATCTACTGCAATCAAAGTGATTTTTTTTTTCTCATGGATGTATCGACAAAAGCCGCGCGTGCTTGTCGTTGATTCATGAATCATGGCCATTTTGCCTCTTTTGTCTCGGGAGGGAAGCGACTTTCCCCCATCGACCGGCCGAGACTGCTGGAGGCACTTCCCGGCTACAGTACACAATGTTGTCGTTCATCTCTCATGAATGGATATTTCGAGTGGGGATGGACTGAAGCACGGGTCCCATCCAAGGATGGCGGGGTAGCTTCAAAATCCTCGGCGACAAAAAAGAGTTGGCACCTTGTAAGCCAAGTGTGCCGGGACTCTCGAAGCTCTACGTGAACTGAAAAATCCCCCCGCAAGGGCTCATCGTCACGCTTCACCCTTGAGAACATGAAAATCAAGGCACGCCAGCCGCATACCCTGTGTGTGCTACCCAAGAGGTAGTTGAAACACCAACAAGAGGCCGCAACTGCGAGGGTAGGGTTTGTTTGCTGATGTTTGGCGCGTGTCCTCAGGGCCTTTGCTTGTTCCTGCTGACTTGGGGATTAAAACCCGCAAACCCCTTCCAAACAAACACCGTCTCCGTCTCCCCTGCTGGTCCAACTTCTGTGCCAACAGGCTTTGAAGCCTTGACGGGTTCTCGGTGTTTGATGTGGCTTTCCGACAACGGCCAAGTAAGTGTTAATGGCTACAGTAATAGCAGCTCTCAAACACCCGGTTCTTACTAGGACACGACACGAGAGTGGGTGTACGAAATCTGCGAAAAATCGCTTTCCACAGTCTCGCAATGTCCCAACGAGAATTTCCCCACGGACCTCCCATAGATCCACGGTAGTAAAAGAATGGGAGGGCGGGAGCGGGTTCTAGACGAGCCGAGGGCTACCCCGCGCCATAATTGGGTGTGACTGTACTGTATTATGCGTACATTCCACGGAACATTCCGTAAACCTTCCGATACCATATCAGGCAGGCGGATTCAAATCCCCCCGATTTCCACTTAACGAACTACAGCAGTGTACGTCTCAAATTTACACAAGGGATTCTTAAAGTCTCTTCGCCTGCTAGGGAAAATGAGACACACAACGCTCTGAACAAGCAGTCTGACTGCTGTTTTTGAATGCCCTAAAAGAGGGTAGGGGGTTGCGACCCTCCTATTTGCTCTCCAGTATTCCCACACAAATGTACCCCGCCAGATTGCTTCTGCGAAGACTCCAGACACAAAGCACGACGGAAAGGAAACCATCGCGTTCCCGCGTGCACCGGTACACACATGTCAGCCCGACGGACACTTCTGACCGCCACATTGTACCCTCCAGACTGCCGTTCGACAACAAAAGCAATGCACACACGCCACGGGTGGTACGTGGTCGCGCTTCAAGGTCACTTTCAATTCTATTTCCCGAGAACACCGTGCCGACGCAACCGGTTGGATAGGTGGAATACGGCCGAATCCACAATTCCTGAGATGGCGAAAGCTCCCCCGGCAACCGCGCAGAGTCGGATCAAAAGATGCGAGAACGGCGGCTGCTCCGCTGGAACGACCTCGACCATGAACGGCGATACGTCGTACACAAAAAATACCCCTGGTATGGTTTCGACGGGGGGCGGCGCGGCAGGCATCGTCGAGCATGGGGTGTTTTCGACGGGGGTGAGAAACATGTTTTCGAAAGCTATCCAAGGGCTCTAGTCTATCGTCTGTGGATCCATTTGAGGTGCACACGCATGCCCAGCAGTCGATGATGAAGCCGAACCCTCTACAGGCAGAGTTCATAGCTCATGTAATGTCATGGCTTGTCAACCACAAGCCGGGCAGGCCAGCTGGTGCATCGGGTGAGGGCTATCCGCCATATCATGGCATCACCCAAGGTAAATACTGACATCGAGCCGCGCGGAACAAAGCGAAACCAACTACAACGAATGCAGACAAGACATACTGTACCTTCGCACAAGTGAGGTGTGGGCGAATGTCGCGTAACGTCTAGACACGAGCACAGGCAGCCCACTACAGCGTTTGGGTTCAACTTGAAGGTTCACCGGAGGACGTTCGCCAGCACGTCACCAACAAGTCGTGCGTCATACGACCGCCCAATCACCTCGGATGTCACAGGCTACCCACTACAGTAGAACCAAACGACAACGAAGACAAGAGGGTAAGAGGGTGGTTCGTTTCAGCACACACCTGGCAGTAGCGCCGAGTTCACAATGGAGTTAACCCCGCCATCCTGCGTCAATCCCTTCTCCGCTTCCTTGGCCTGCTCCTCTCCCTCTTCATGATCCGTATGGTACTCCGTCAAGCCCTTCAGCGACCGAAACTTGTACGTGTACGTGAACTGGCTGGTGAGGCTCGATTGCTGCTGCCGCTCTGCCTCCTCCCCTTTACCCTTCGGCAACGGACTTCCACTCGCTTCCGACTGCGGACTGAGCGAGTGCATCGTGGGCACCAGCTTGATGTAGTACTGGAAAGCGCCGGTGCCGACGTCTGTGCATGAGGGCGAGGCAAGTGGGGTAGACCAGCCAACGTTGGCGTGTAGACAGAGAGAGAGAGGGTACAGCAGTGCCAGCTACTTTCGTGTAGGCGTGAATCGCGGCCGTAGCATCCGCAGCGCAAATAGTGGTGGCAGTAAAATGGGAGCACCTCGAACGTTGGTGGTATGGCCAACACGCTCTAGAAACACAGGTACTTCGTACAAGAGGTAGTAAAATCGTCCAATACAGCAATCCAAGCAACGACCAGAACAAGTGAATTATATTAGTTGGCAGGTGAGCTTTTCAATCATGCCAACGGCGATAAACCTTCTATCAACCGAGCAGGGGTACAAGCAAGAAAGTAAAGTCCAGATGGGAAACGATAACCATGAGCACCGATGATGGGCTGGCGCATTTCTACCGCGTTCTTGCGAGCAGAACCCTGCAGCACGCTGTGATCACGCTCTTCTCTTCTCACCGACCAGTGTTGGACTGTTACAGTACCAAATCGACAGCCACGCATGCAGGGAATCCAATCGTGCCAAATCAACACACGAAGAATTCCTCATTTACAAGCATCTCTCCATACAGCAAAATACCACTACAAACCTTAACGTTCACACCTTCATCGATTATCCTCGAAGTTCTGTCGAGCGGGTTCGGCTTCATTCCCGGGTACGGCTCCCAGAAAGAAAGAAGGTTGATGCTGTGGCTAGTGTTGAAACCCACCGCTTGTTCCAAGGTATACAAATGGACATGCCTCCCTTCTCGCATGACTCCTTCGCCCGTAGCCACGTGAAAATTACCAGACACCTGCAGTTTCCAAAGGCGCCACATGCCAGGAGGATGTCCGGAGTCAGCGAGCGTCAGGGGGGGCAATGGGGCGCGAAGCAAACAACAACTTGAAGCATCAGCCCTGTGGACAGCCAAATGCATCTGACGACACTCATGAGGGGCTCGTACTTCCGAGGAGCCATGAGGTTGATTCTCATCGTACACCTGTCTTGTCTTGACGATGCCCACGTATATGCATTTTGGTCCCATGGCCGTGCCTACGAGGGATTCCGGCAATACAACACTAGCCCACATTTTTTCATATGGTCACGTGACAAAACGAAACAACACCGACAACGACAACGACAACAACAACAACAGCAACAGCAACACGAAAATCTCCCAGATGAAACAGGACGGCGAAGACAGAAGGCAGGAACCACGAGACATAGACAAGGACAAGGACAAGGAAAATGTGTCGGCGATACTGCTTGACCAACAAGACGTATGTACCACTGCAGATCCTGGCTGTTTCTCACCTTGTTGACGGACATGAATCCCGACAGGTTGCAGCCTTCCCCGTTCACGATTGGAGTCTCAATATGGTTGTCACGGATACACTACAGCAGATGAAGGCAGGCAAGCACGACGACACGAGGCGGCATCTGGGAGCTGTGAAGACGACGTGCGCAGTCACATTGCAGCCTGTCATAGTGCTTCCAGCAGACTTTTCCCCACGTGCCGTTGCCCGCCGACCCGTTCTCCGCACACGAGGTACTGCTGTTTTTGTCGAGCTTTCTTGGAAAACACAAAAATGACACTTGACTACAGCCGTGGGCCCTCAATAACGCCGGTATGTGCCTGGCGAAACGACCGGTGCTTTTCAGAGGGACCGGCGGCATTCAAAACACAGAATGGCTTCGCGATTCAGTCTGTGCCCGGCAATTTCACCGGTGGGATACAGGGCCACCCGCGCTATTCAGCCGGCGTTCTTGGGGGCCCACGACTAAATCGACTACGCACAACTTCTAACACGACTTAAGAGAAGCTAGCCTCACCTGCTCCGCCGTCCTTCTGATGTCCTGCACAGACCACCCCTTGGCTGTGTAAGCGTCTACTACGTCCCGGCACATGTTGCAGCATCCCTTCTTCGCCCCGAAGCAGCTCCCGCAATAGTCCTCTGGTAGTGATTGTGCTGGGTCATCATCCACCTCGCCAGGCTACAGAGGGAAAAAAACACAAAACATGCGACAGACAAGACATCATCAGGACCAGTAGACCAGCACTATCAGCACAGCTTTCACTCCAACACAACGTCAGTGCCAATACGCGTGTCAAGGGTGCGATGCGATCCCTTGATTCATATCGGCTGAGGCCGTTGCTCTGCTCAACTGATTTCGATCGCAGCTGTCTCTTAAAACAACGAATTTCCGCGCAAGGAAGATTGATACCGGCACCACCAATCAGACTCCCCTTGCAAATTCCTTTCGGCTCAACGACGTCCAGATTCCCAATGAAGACGAATCAAATCGAAACACATTCGAACTCCAGCTGACCCTAACCCAAACTCCTGCATGTGTGCAGTGCGCCCAAAAACTGTAAATTCAGTGCGCCGCACGTTCTCTCGATCAGCACGGTACCATGGTATCCATCCGATTTTGAAACCATTCTGTACGGCCACACGCGCATTGAGCAACTGCATGGAGAATTAGGCACTCACCACCTCCATGAAGGCTTCCCCAATTGCCGAACCGTCCGGGTCTAGTCGCTGCTTCCACATACCATGGTCGATATCTATTTGATTGTCGCCCGCCACGTCCATGGCATCCACATGAACATCCAGGCAAGGGATTGAATGAAACGTCTGCGGTTTGTGATGGAAGGAATGGGTGGCACGGCGACACGCGTCGATTGCGGTTGACTTAGGATCAGGCAGTTGTCCTCTCCTGTAGTACGGCGCTGTAAATGATACCGCCGTGCGTTTCTTGAGTTGAACACGTGGAACATGTTGCATGCGCTGGTGAGGTGAGGTTGGTCACGGTCACGAACCTTCAGTACATGTACATATGTGACGGATCATGCGACGCAGTTGCGGTGGGTTCCGAGAGCATAGTGGCCAACCGCAGCAGAAACCGTCGTGCCTCATACACACGATGCCAACGGTTTGGATTTGGCGCACTGAGCTGCACGCTGGTGAAAATCGAACCACCAAGTGGGTGTACTATAGACTCCACCCCAACATCATCTCCATCCTTGATCGAGATGTGCGGCGAGATTCCTCCTTCGCGCTCCGAGACGCGCCGGCTCGCACACGCACACACCAAACTGCAATTCAATGGGTGTGACCCGCAAAGCCATTATGAGAGTCTTGAACTACTTGACAGCTGACAGCAGCAAACCATCTGCGCGACGCAATCTGTGCGACGCAGGCTTCGCAGGCACACGCACGCCTTGATCGCCACAACAATGATGGTGTTGGATGCAGCAGTATTTAGTAGCCCTCGACTCACCATGTCGATGTTGATGCGGAGCTTCTGGCCCATGCTCGAATCAACCACCACTCGCTCGGTAGGGGCCTGGACTTTCCGATACGCCTGGACCTCCCCGACGCAAAGCACCACCATGAGCACCCAGAATCCAATGGTGACGGCAGCCCCCGCCTCTGTACGCACCTGTAGATCCTCATCTACCCTGGCATAAACATCCAACTGCTTGATTGTTCTCTCCAATAGAGAGCCTTCTCGAGGAGCTGCGTCGTTCCCAAATGCAGGGTTCACGGCCTCGTGCCGTCTCCGCAGCATGGGCCCCATCGATGATTGTGGCCATGGAGGCGCTCCATTGGACATGGTTCACCACAATGCGAGAGAGGGAGAGAGAGAGAGAGCGACCACGCGACCACACGAGCAATGCCACTAGCGCTCGGAGGAGCGGAGAGCGGAGCATTTGGTTGTCCCGCATTTTGGGGGACCCGCGGCTGGGGGAGAAGGGATCCCCTCGTATCCTTGTATGTGACAGTTTCAGATTCCGATCTTTTGTTCTTCGCCACACACGACTGACGACACGATGACACGACCCTGCCTGTTCTCTCTTTCCCTCCCATTCGCGGCGCCCGACAACCGTTCGAGCGGCCATGAAGCATGGCATCTCAATCAAGTTCCAACCCTAACCAGCTGTTGCCCTTCGAACAAGCTTGGAGAAGGAGCGGTCAGGTCAGTTTTTTCCGGTCGACCAAGCGAAGTCGTTCGTCAGGTCTCGACGACGAGTGATCATGAACGTTGAGTACTTGTTCCAACATACGACACGATTGTCGTCATGCTGCGTTGTGAAAAGGTTCGGAATACGGCCAACGGGTTATTTATTGGGGGCACATGAGGACACCTGTGTCCATACTCTATGTACTGCTGTACATTGTACCGAGATGGTCGCTGTTGCAGTTGTGCATGCGTGCTGCCATGTCGACAGCAGTACAGCAGTTGTACAGTTTAGTGTGCAGTGTTTCTTTGTTTCTTCACAGCGGGCGCACTCTTGTGCATATACGCATGGTAGACGGCGTACACAACGGCAGCAAAGAGTGTTTTGATCAGCAAAGGTTATCGTCACGCTCACCCACGACCGTCAGGCCTGGCGTTTATAATCGATGGTTTCCAGCTCTGACCAACGAAGGGTGTGCGGATATAGGCAGGGATGTGTGGTGCTTCGGCGTCGTAGATGTGTAGTTCCAGTTGAACACGCACTACTGGTTCCCATAGTCCATGTGCTCGTATAACGCTGTTTAGGCCAGTGCGTGTGTGTGCCCATGTTTTCTTTCCCCCCGTTTTTGAATATCCTGTCGCACATGGTTGGATCTGGAATGCAACGCGCCACACAGGACTACTTCGATCGGTTCCCGCAGGAGAACGGCTCCATCTTTCTCTTCAATACCTATACAGGCGAAGCTATCTACGATGTAGATCGATGGGGATCGCCACTCCCTGGCGCTCGCACGCTGTCACATTGGTTCGTACCCACGGCTGTAGTGCCTCCCGCCACAGAGGGTGAGCCCGTCGACACCCATAACGTGAGTTCCTGGGAAAATACTTTATAGGCAGAAACCCATTGTGTTCGGGGTCATTTGCTGATTGGGGTTTTAATCAAGTTTCCGAGCACATGGAAATATCGCTTCTAGACTACTATTCTCGCCGCGACGTGTGCTCCCATGCCTACCTTTCCCCAATACATGACCACCTACGGTGGTCCATGCATTTTCTACCACATAGCGAGAACCATTTCTGCCGCTCGTCGGCACCACTTCCAACCACCTCCTGCTGTGTTCTGCCTGCACCTTTCCAACGACATCCCCTCTCACTGGCCTTTCCCGACGTCAAAGCTGCGTGATCTGAGAGACGACTTCCCCGGCAGCGAGTATAGAGCCCGATGGCACTGTGCCGAACTCATACAGCGCAACGTCCGTGCGGCGCTGTCGAGGTGGCGGGTCGCCAGAGCGCTCTGTGCGGTATGGGTGAAGGATTACGACCACGAAGCAGAACGATTCTCGTTTACCCACCAAAACAACCGAGAGATGCAGTACCACAAGCCCTGGGGCATGGGAACCGTTGACCTTTGGGCTGTGCCGGGGGAAAAAGTCGACGAGCATTTGGTCAGCCTCTTCCTCCGAGTTGAGGTGACGTGGTACTGTGATACGCCAGCGTTATTCCACACTGCACGCCCCGTTCAACTGGATTGCCAAGCTCTGTCCTCAAACGCAATACCTTGGCGACTCTGGTGCAACCCGACGTTGCCATTTCCAGCAGACTTGGGGACAGAGAAAATAATGCCGAAATAAAATAGTGGCAGGGAATGAATAATCTTGACGACACAGCCTATACGCCATACTTTGACGATGCTGGCAACTACTTGGCGATCGCTAACGTATCCTTCCTGCCCCAGAGCGCAACAGCGGAAGAGCGTACAGACGAAGAGCCGCGAGACTGGGAAGCATCCAAACGGCATCGCCGGCGGTTGTACAAATTCTATCAGGAAAAGGTAATAAGCTTTCTCTGTCGCTGAAAACATCATCACCCATACATTCGGTTGTCAACACTACTAACAAGTTCTGTCTCCGGCTCCTAGCCGCGATTCGTACAGAAGAAGGCTTGTGTAAGGGTCACCACGTAGCTCCGAAATATAAATCGCAGAACGCACTATATGTCGTATGGCGTACCATACTTGATTGATTGTTGGATGAATAGTGGTAGCGCGTCGATGGTTTCTTTCAGCGTAAACAACCGCCAACCGAGTTTCCAAAATCAGCATCCTGTCCGCATGCACCTACATGCTCCTTTTCCCCTCAAACACCCCCGTGTGTTTGCATAAGCACGCTATTTGAATAGGGAAGCGAGATAGAAGTTAAAGCGTCAGACGACCACGGTGGTCTTCCCGTGAACCCCAAGTATGTCTCGTTTCGTCGCGAAAACTGCTGTATATCCGTAAATCGCAGACAGGGGTCGTCTCGCCCTCACGCCACCCCCCACCGAGTGCCAAGATGAATGGGGGAGACGACCGCTTTTTCTCGACTAGCACATGCATGTTCTTTTCTCCGGGGGTGCGTCTACCTCGAACGGCACATTGGGCCGAGCGTTGCTGTTTTCTCCGTTCGTACCGTACCGCTGCAATATTCATTCCTTCCCTCCTTCCGTCCTTGCCACAAACGCATGCTGTGTAATTGTACCACAAAGAAATTTAGCGAGGGTCCTCACTGCCGCATCGTGGGGCCAGGAAGTCTGAAGGAAAGTTCGTTCACCAACGTGTTCCTCTACCCCAAGAAGTACTACAAGACGAAACCTTTCTCCCATCCGAGGGACAGGCAGTGCGAAGGAGCCAGGATGGGGAGCCAGGTGACGTGCATGGACGGCCTCGTCGAGAAAAGGGTGAGTGAGAGTTCTGCCTTTCGGTCTGCTTGTGTGAGTAGGACAAACCCTAACCCTAACCCTAACCCTAACCATTATTATAATCAAGAACACGTGCCCTGTTCATGAAGAACAGGGGGAGGTGAATTAGAGATTTGGTTGTGTGAGTTTGGGTGCCTCAACACGGTTGTTGAACGCTGCTGAAACTTGTCGAGAAAAAAACCATGCAGACCACGTCTACCGAAAACAGGAACAGGAAGGACGCGTCACATGGTCAAGCCCCTTACGGCGAGAAAGGGCAACTAGTGAGTTCAAAACAGTCGTGCCAGAAGAAAATAACGGCCCATGGCGTGTGAAGCTACCTACGGCGTGGTTGGAACAACGCCTATACCGCCATGATGCACACTCGAACCCCCCCCCGATCTACGCTCAAGACTCAAGCCCCCAACATTTGTCCACGAATTCGGCCAGGGCCTGCTTGTGTTGCTAAAAGGGATGCATACGAGAGTTGAACATGTCCGAGCTTTCTCTTGCGACAGGGGGAGCTCGGCAGGCCCACCGGAAGCAATCTGTGTCCAGCGTTCGACGGCTTCAACGAAAGCTTCTTCACACCGTGCCTTCCGCATACCTCCAGCTTACCGTGCCCCGTATCGCTGCGTGTTGATCATGTTTCTCCATCTGTTGTACCGTTCGTTATCCGCAGATCTCGGCGGATGCGTATTTCCACGTCCGCAACGCTAGCGAGCATGGCGCTTTGAACGTGATCAAGCTCATGTTCAAGCACCGAGATGATCTTCGCGTGCAGGGCGTTGGTCTGCAACGCATGGCAGGCTCGCTCCTGGAAGGTGGGGAGATTATTGCCTCGTATGTCCCACGCAATAATCGCCGTTGTTGAAGAAGGCAAGTCCATCGTCGTCGAAATTTCATTCTTAGGTGTGAACTGAATCCCCCCTTCGTACCTTTCGACAGTCGCAAGGCCGCAAACTTCTTGTCGCAGTGAGCCAATGGTACCGTTAATGCCGAACTTCTCAGCCTATGGGTGCGCGTGGTCACACACCGTTATATACGTACACGTGGGCAATACACACACACATACTCGCAGAGGACGAGGCTGGAGGAGCTACGGAAGGCCAGAAGAAATACTTGGAGAAAGCCTTTCAGCTGCTTCGAGAGACCCCCAACGTAGAGTGGACGCAGGCTGAGGCGTGCGCTGCACTGGCGTCAATGACGAGCGGCCTGTGCATTCGGAAGGAGATAGACCGCGAACACGCTGATTGGCTGGAGGATGTCGTGACGGCCATCATGGGGGTTAAGAGCATCACCCAGACCGTGAAAGAGATAGACCCTGACGGAAAGGAGACAAGGTGACCGGGGGTCGTAAGCGGGACATCGATGTCATCATGACCTCATATCCCCCCCCCCCTGCAGTGCCCCCTACCTCCCCCGTAATACAATGTTTTTGGGGTGGATGTTTTTTTACATCTGTAGGCATCAAGATAGTTACCGAGTTATCGACGTTGGAGGCTTGCACAAATCATCATTGCAACGGGTCCGTCAATGCCTCTCGGTATGTCTTTCCGAGAGTATTTCCCCGGAGAAACAACCTAAAAAGTCATAATCCTCAATTTGGTCGTCCCATCATCCAAAGTGCACTCAATCACGTCGTCGTCGGACCGAAAACTGCAGAACGCTGTAGTAGTCCTCATTGGGGCAGGTGAACCCTTTTTGAGTCTATCTCGAACGTCCTTTTCCCAGAGCGCTTTCATCCCAACCCCACATATTGGGAAATTTGGTGCCTTGTTCAAAGGTTTCCGGACAAGCTCACTTTTCACTCACACCACGTTTCGATCGAGCTAACTGATGGATTCGAACGAATGTCTCGGTATCACAATGACGCAATCTTGTGCCACACACCTCCTTTTGTCACGACAACAGGTATGACGTGAGAGTTCCTTCACCCATGGCCCATCTCGTGGCTCTGCATGGGTGCCGCATCTTGGCGAACATGGCGTGCGACGGTGAGACGACAGGGTGACGTGCTACGTACTTTTTCAACCGTGGCAACGACGGCCTTTCTTCGGATCTGTTCTGCTTGTCTTCAGGTTTCTCCTCCCATTTCCAATTCATCAAACTACGCCCGCAACCGAGTGTGCTTATGAACTACGAAAGTGCTCTTCGCTACCTAGCTGGAGCTTGGTAGTCTACTCCGCCTCGTCGTGGTATGGACAAACCTTCTCGGTCCTGGTACAGGAACAATTCACTCCCCATGTTATGCATCCAAGCATTTTCGGTGGGTAAGGGCTCTTCGGCATGAAGTCTGACCCTCTTTTTCTCCCGTCGCCGCTATCGGTCAGACCACAACAGAGCCGAGGTGGCGCGCGGATCTATTGGAGCGGTCGTCCACGTGGCGAACCTCATGGCAGATGACCCGGTTCTAGTTTGCGCCGTTTCTGCTGCTGTGTACAACTTCGTTAGCCGGCAGGGTAAGTCCAACTTGATTTCGAAAAACTAAAAAACTCTTGTTCACGACTGAGTGTTTGTTGTGAATGCATGCGGGTTATGCGGGTTATGCGGGTGGGTAGGCACGTGAAGTGCAGATGCGTGCTACCATTTTGCGTCCACGAACAAGACTCGTTGATCCCACGAGATTCAATGACCATCCCAGAGACGCTTCCCTCCCCCGCGCGTCGCAGTAGGTGCCTGACCTCGGCCGAAGAATCCCTCTTCACATGACAACTCATTCCTAGACTGAGTGATGTCTTGATAATAACTTTTACTTCGTTTCGTGTAGAGACGACACACAAAATTGTGGTCGAGGCCGGGACGGCGGAAGCATTGGAGGGGATGCTGAAGAACCTAGAATATACCGATCGGAAAGAAAAAGAGTTGGTCACCAGGGCTCTAACGGCTCTCGAGCCAGACGGGTGGAGAGGAGTCGATCATGGCCTTCGAGATGAGGCGAGTGAAGTGAAGGCTGAAACGGCGTAGTAGGTGACTCGGGATATTTAGGAGAGAATGGAGGCGTGGGAACTTTGAAAACAGGGTCGGGATGAGTAACAACTACTCTCTTTCGAGTGTCATCTTCAAGGAACAGAATCGTTTCGAAGAAAGGTCGCTGAGACGAAAAGTTGGAGATGGAGGCTTTGATCGCATCGGGGAGGAAAAGAGGTGCCCAAAAAAACCGCACTTGCGTGTTGTGGCTTGCACCACCGTTCGTTATCATCTGCACCCCAACAACCGAGCGCTATTGTTTTCGCTTGCAAACAACCTTTATTTTCCTGATCGATGAGAAGAAGGTGAACGGGCGTGTTCACAAGCTGAATACCCATCATGTTCTGCATTCAAGCCACGATTCGTTGTTTCTGGGTCCCATCTGTTCTAAATTGTATGCTCATTTTCCCCATATCGAACGCACGACGTCTGTTGTTTTTTCGCGCAGGACATTCCGGAGCATGTGGATGAATCGTCCACATCGGTTGACGACAGTATTAGCGGAATGGGATTGACCATTGCTTCCAACAACGCGGGAGAAGGCACCGTATCGGCAATGGTTAGCCCGGCGGATGGTTGCGAGAAAAATGCCACGTAGTAGCCTTCACGTAGTAGCCTTCGCTCGGAAACGGCGGGTCACCGGTTGCGGTAGCCCGTAAGTGTGTCTAATGAGTTCGAGTGTTTTGCGTGCAATCATCCAGAGGGAAAGTAAGTGTAGTCTACGCTAGACAAAACGTGCGACACAATCAACTGCTGTTTTGACGCTCTGCGATAGTATGCTGCAGCTTTCGTGATGGCGCTGGCTGCCCTTCCGAAACCCCCCCGTCTTTTTGGACATGATCTGTTCTTTTGCGCGGGAAAGTTTGCTTCACGTTGGTGGCCCTTGACCTCGCCTACTGAGTCCCGCCACCGGGCATGATGAAATCTTGTCGTGGGCGCGAATGGCGTACGGGGTACATTATACTCGCTGACGGATGGTACGGGAGTGGGCAAGCACAAAACATGGCTGGCGTGAATGAAATGAAGACCAGCGACTTAAGCCACTCTGGAACATACGCCAGAGCTCACGACCATTCTTAACCGGTCAACGCCCGCCTAGAGTGAAATATTCAAGCGACTGTTGTGATACTCGAAAGTTCTTGTACAACCCGACGCTTGGGGGTACATCGGCAGATCTTTCGGAAATTCGCACAGTCGGCTCTGCCGGCCGGGAAATCATTTTCTCGCTTGGTGGCTTTTACGGACGCAAAACGGAGGAAAACACGAGGCTAGGTGATCCCCTAAGGAATGACACATTCCTGACATGTCATCGTCTCGTCACCATGTGTGATTCAATTTCAACTCCGGCCTGGTTCGAAAACGCTACAATGGAATGTATACTACACTAGAGACCCTTTCTCTTTTCTCTTTTGTTGTTTTCTTCACATTAAAAACCGTTCCGATCTCTCTACACCCAGTGCCTTCATCTGTCCGCACTGATCAAACACCTGACGGAGCGATTCCCATGGTCACAGGCTAACTTACCCAAAAATGTCTTTTACAACCACTAAAACGCGCAAACGTAACTAGACTTCTGTAAGACCAGCAGCTCCTCACGCTCAACTGATTCCGACAAAGACTACCAGCACCCGTGTACTTACTACACGTGGCGCAAGCTCGAGAGACTCTCTGCCGTGCTTCCAACACAGTGGACCACCTATTCCAAATACGAACGTACTTACCGCTGCCACTATTTATCAACACCTGACAAACGAGCGCCGTCATTCCAACAAATGATTCCCTCCTTCCGCGCAAACACCGAAGACTGGCGTTGAACAAAGATGATGGGGCGTTGTAGTTTCACTCTCCCTGAATGAAGTACCAAAAAAGACTCTGAGGCAGCAGGCTAACGAACGCACTAACCGCTCGGCCTCGGTAGGTCGACCTCGAAAAGCTCTGCCACACTCAGATCTTGTTGGCGGTAACCTCCGCTCTCACGGCACATAGCTAGGTCGACCCCGCTGCTGCATCGTTCGCCTCCATGACTACTTCTTCCTTAGCTGCCTCTGCTTCTTCCGCCAACAGCCTCTCGAATTCTTCGGGGTCTTCGGCCTGTAATCACGCCACGTCACGTTGTGCCAGCCGCCACGCCCATGCAAATCGACGAAAAAAACAGAACGAAAAAACGAGAGATGGTTAAGCGAACAGCAGTAGTGCCGGTCTAGGTAGACATTGTTGCTGCTCCTAACAATTTGTAGCACTGGAGTACATGGCGTGAAGAGAGAAAACCACTACCACGGCCGTCCTACCAAGCCCATTAATACATGTCATGTCATGTCATATAGCACGTGAACAAGAGCTTCCTCTTGACGTGAGACAAAACCACTCGCGCGGGTTAGCCTGCCACCGCAGTTGTACCAAGGAGGCGGGGGATCGGGGACACGCATGCCAAGTTGCATCACCATACATGCGATGTTATTTTAAAGTGCGGCGCATAGCTAGACGTGGGACAAGCAAACGTGTCTTGTCTCCCAGTTCACAACGCGAGAGTTGTTTACAAAAAAAAACAAAGGGCTTCCTTACCGTGGCGAGGAAGTAGATGACAACGTAGCAGATCGCCACCACCTTGAGGGCGTTTGTGACGTCCTTCCAAGTCGTCCCCTCCACAGAAGCCCACAGAATCCTGGGCGCGAAGACGAGGAGCATCAGCCTGTCCCACAAAAAGGCCGCCACTATGTCCAACACCAGCACCAGCATGATGGCGTTGCGGAAGTTATCATCGGGGAACGGCTCCAGCTGTAGCCACTTGTTGAGCTGCAGTTGACAATGGAAAGACACGCAAAAGGAGAAGAAAAAAGGGGAGAACAAGCCAAGTTAGCTCGTACGCCCTCATGCGGTCCACGCTGGGCGCGGTGTGCCTCTGTGGGCCGATCGAGTCAGTACGAGTCAAGACGTTGTTTCGGCATGAAGGCTTCCACGCGACTGCTCTAGTTCCCGCTCCAAGCAAGCAGCATCAATGAACCAAACAACAAACGCCCGACAATCAGGAACGAAGGTGAAGGTGCTTGATACTCGTGTACTCTGCGTCTGGATCGAATTCCACAACGCTCCACGCAACTCACCCACCTTGCAAATGCTGCCGGAAATATCTTCGTATACTTTGATCACTTTGTATCTTCAGCTGGGTCGTTTGTGGTAAACTAGTGCCCTTCCCGCTCGAGCAATCATCGAGTCCTATGATAGGCATAAGGAAGAGCAGAGGCCATGACAGCAGCAGCCTAGTCTAGTCGATCGAGGGGACTCACCCTAGGGATGGTTTCGCTGGCACTCATGAACGTGAGGGCGAAGGTGGCTGCCAAGGAATACAGGAGTGGCCTGTTCTCAGACAGCCCCCCCATGAACGGTCTCCCCTTGAGGTTCACCACGAACACGCTGACCTGCGAGGTCATTGTGAGCACCGGTCACAAAAGGCGGATAGGATAGGATAGGACAGGATCACAAAGGTATCCCTTCTCCGCCAAAGACATGCGCGTTGCCAACAAGTCTCATGTTTTTCGCATGCGTAAACTATTCTTGCCCGTGCGGTGTGGGCTTCGCGTACCGTCTCCAGGCTAAGGTGAAGGTTGAACATTACACCATGGCACACACCGTAACTAACGTTGACATCGGCAAGGGAAGAGCGAGGGTAGTCGTTGTGGACAAGCAGGACAAGCAGGACAAGCAGGACAAGCAGGACAAGGCCTCTCAGGATGCTCTGAAGCTGCCTGGATCAACACATGGGCTCGCACCCTATCCTGGTCATATTCGAATACAAGAATACAAGAATACTATTGTACTGTTGAGCTAGTTTGCCAAGAGCAAAATGAAAGTCCACGACGTTAGGAAACACTCGGGCACCTGCTGCACAGCTCCCACTAGGAACACGACCGAGTTGATCATGTTTGGCTTGAACTCGCCATCGAGATCGGGCTCGTAACCTTCCTCCAAGTGCTCCTTGCTACGAGCGACCGCATAGACCATGCATCCCATATGAAGAGAAAACTGCCCGACAAAAACAAACAGAAGCAGAGGAGGGGTGACAGGTGAATCTCGAGGAACAGCAGCTTACATACATGATTCAGGTGAGAGGAAGGCTGCGTTGTTGACGGTCACAGAGATTTGGCTGCTGCGGCACAAGCACCGAAGGGGGCGTGAGCGGTCACCACCAACAAGCCGCGCAGTCACAAGTCACAAGTCACAAGTCACAAGATTACCCTGCTGCCATCGTCGCACAGCACACAAGAGTAGGCGCGCTCAGCGGTGTCCCACTTGACCTAGCCAGACCTCGACTTCAACATGCAACGATCGTTTTCTTCGTTTGACCTTCCAACACGCAATCGGACGCACACAAAGCGGTACTCTCGTGATACCTGTCCGAGAATCGAGAGGAACAGGGCCGGGTGGAAGATAGACGTGATCGGTCGGACTGGGCTGAGCTTCGACAGGGGCTTGGCCCTGCTGATGGTGATGAAGGAGACGGACATGAGCATCCCCAGAGCCGTCATCTGCCTGTCGCCGTACTTCACGCCGTCGAGGTATAGCACCGACAACGAGTAGGCAGAGATCAGGCAGTTCAAGGCCAGAATCTGGCAAGGAGGAGACGGGGAAGCGGGGCGGGGTCGCGGGAAAAGGTTGGCCCCTGGCATGGCGTGGGTTGGTTTGGCGAGACAAGTCGGTCCGGGTTCTGCACATGGTTACAGCAGTAATACCCAAACACTGGGTGGGCGCAGCCAACCTTCCTGTGACCCCTCGTGCGGTTCATTCGGGCGGCTCCCGCGGATGCTTCCCGCAGAGCAGCAGCCGTCAACGGAGCTGCCATGTCCCTTTGGCGTGGTTCAGCCAAAAAAGGGAAGTTTCTATGTAGCGCACCATTGAACGCAGATTCGACTGATGGTCATGCCCGAGATAATGGCAGCTGTAAATTATGCCACACCGAAGGGCCTTTTGCACTGATTTACAGTAGGTGGCGCAAACTGAGGAGCTTCTCATGCATCCTAAACTGTAACTTCAATACCGGCTAGAAGAAGAGAATCGGGCCAATTTGGTCAGAGTGGTGGGCTTGTATTATTGCGGGGTTTGAGTTGAGCGAACTCCGTACGAATGTCACACGCCCCATGATGTAAAAGGGGCGTTTCGCACTCTAAAGTGGCTATAACCCAACGATACATGCGCAATCATGTCCAACCAGTAAATTCCGTCAAAGGAAGACCGACACTGCGCAGGAGCAGCCATGCGTTCTACGGCAAACCAAGGTGAGATGAAGGGATGAAGGGAGACAACCGACTACTGTACCGTAGTGCAAGCCAATCTCGACTTGCCTGGTACATCTGAATGGACGTGATGAGCGTGCACCTCCCTTGTCGGATAATGTCCACCGTGCCCTTGATCGACGGCAGCTTGCTAGTGAACGGCGCAGCCACGCTGGCGTCTCCGATCTGTCCGTGAGGAGCCAGGTCAGCCAGAAGGCAGTAGCAACAGCACCCAAGTGGCGACAGGGGACAGCGAAGATGAAGATATTTGCAATAGCCCGGGAATGGCGAATAAATATACCCCTTTTCTGCGCATGCATGTGGTGTAAAAATACACAAGGAAACGCCGAAGACGAAGGACGGGGTGATTCATCATTCACCAAAAATCATTCACTAAGTGGATTCTACGGCGTTCTCCGCAAACACGCTTAAATCACACGAAATGAATAATCGGGGCCGTAACACTATGGGGTTAGGGATAGTAGCGGGACGCCGGGTGCTAAATAGTCTCCGCGCCCACCCGACCCACCCCGTTTCTCTCCCCAATCTCACGCTCACTCTCACTCTCACTACTGCAGCGCACCACGAGCTCATGCTCGAATCTTATCATGGCTTTTGCGAGATCCAATGGCATGAGGTTCCCTCCATCTAAGCGCACCTTCACCATGGGCACATCGCCCCCGGTCTCCCCCCCCCCGGCCTCGTCCATCATGGCAGCCATCTTGGCGGCGGACATCTCGATCGACCCGTTCTTCTTCCTCTCAGTCGCCATTGCCTTGGCCTTCGCGGCGTCTTGCGCGTAGATCTCCTTGATCGCCTGCCATGCCATGCCATGCCATACGGTAGCGTGTCCGTGATGTCACGAAAACAGGGAACAAGCAACGAGGGAATTGGTACAAGCACCATGAAAATAGGAGGATGAATGACGTCACGACGGATTCCTCAACCGCTACTGTAGACTACATCTCTCGCCTGGCATGTCAAAGTGTGAGGGCCAAGGGACTTGAGCAGATCTCCATCTCCTCTTGAGCCAACCCCAAAACGCCTCATTACGGCGGTGATCCAGGCTCGAACTCGAGCACAAATATACCATACACGACTCTAGGCCTTCTGTGAGGTGGGTGGTGGTCTGCATGGACACAAAACAACAAGCTACTTGAAGCGAAAATTAGGAGCTAGGAGAAAAACTATTTTCGAGATGGAAAATACGGCGCCACCGGACCGAGGACATCCTGACGTATGCATAGCACAATGGCAGGACAACCACCGCAGCGTTGGTGGGTTTAAATGCGAATGAATATCAGGGAAAAGCGTGAACCGAGCATGAGAACCACAATTTCACTATTCCATTCCAACTGATGTGGGTTCCCTTCGTCAAGAAAACTCAACACACAACCCTGAGCACGTACACCGTACTGCAAACCTTCATACGGAGGGCTTGCGACAGCCGGGTCAAAATTACTCTGGGGTTTGGAACTCCAAAGTACGGAAGTGGCAGATTATTGGTGACTTTCTTCGAAGACCAAACCGTATGGAAATCACAACCACAACGCACCTTGACTGTCGCCCAGCTCTCCCCAGCCGCGGTCAACTCTGCTACTCGCCTCTGGTACTGCTCGACCTGTCGGGTCACCGTGTCAATGCGTCAACGCGAGGTTACTATAGTCGATGGCACCATTCATGCGCATGAGACAAAAGCGCCAAACGACGACAGTAAGACCAGCTGGAACGATACCAGGGCGACAAAAAAAAACGGGGGCGGCTTCCTGTCAATGATCCAAGCCATGAGCAAAACAAGTTTCACTACGTATGTGCGTCACTATGTTGTGCGTACCTTCTCTTTCTGGGCCTCTGCTCTGCGACGGGCGATTTCTTTCTTCTTTTCCGCCGGCGTCATCTTGGACAAGTCTTTCGAGGAAGGGTCCCCGCCGGTCGCAGCAGCAGGCTTTCTCTGCACCGCTCGCATGTACAGTTTCACCAAGTCCTGCAAAATGCAAAAAGTCAACCCGCACAGCACCGCGGAACATCCCACAATATTACGGTACGTTGTTCCAAGCGAAATCTATGGCGGAATATTATTATTTTTCCCCGTTTCCATCACGACCGCATGACACCGCTGGTCGGTAAGGTGGACCAATATTTGCCGCGTGAAAAACCACATCTTGACCCATGTTCAGACTTGCAGCAACACATAATTCACGCAGAGGGTGATCTCGACACGTCTCGACGCTCCTCGAACCCTCCCAACCTCAACTGCACGTTAGGGAACCACACGGTGGCAAGCACTCTTGGTCAAAGCAGCAAGGAGGAAGTGTGGCCACCAGAATCAAAGGAAACAGGACACACTCACCGTCTTTTCCACCGCCCCCGGGTACTTGGCCAGATCGACCCCAGCTTCCGCAAGCTTTTTCTTCAGCTCGGGGACACGCAGCTTCATGAGTTCCCCCTGCGGGATGGCCAGAGCCGTCGAACCGGGAGTCCCTGAACCAGCAGTTGTGTCGCCCCCGTCTTTGCTGGATCGATCCACGTTGATGTCGCCGAACCCCCCCAACAGAGCGACTCCCACCTATTGTAGAGCCCACGTTAGGATTAGGGTCGGGATTGTGGGATGGATGATCTCGACAAGAAAAGAAAGAAGGTTAAGGTTAGTCATTCGCACACCGAGACGAGGCGAGACGAGGCGAGACGAGGCGAGACGAGGCGAGTACAAGGGGTAACGATGAGGTAGGGAAGGGCACACCGGACTGTCACGGTACGATGACACAAAAGCTTGCAGATCACCATCACCCCAGGTGGAAACGTAGGAGTAGTTGTAGACCGACTTTGTGTTGGGACGAGCCCGGTCAGGTTGCAACGTTTCAACCCGCAAGGGCCATGATATTAAGATCCGTCATACTCTTGAGGGCGACAAGAACATCTCTTCTCAACTCATGGCTTGTGGTCGGCTTGGTCTTTACTTGTATAGCACGTCCTTCGTCCATCAGTTCGTAAAGTCTTTCTGGTATCGTCGGTGGCCAACGCTGGCAAGACAAGCACTCCACACTCGGAGGAGCGATACCGCACAAGCCACCAGACAGTAGAGGAGACTCGTACGACATACTGTCACTTGTTCTCCAACCAGACAATCATAGCATGTGGTATGAAACAAGCTCGATGCGTGCAGGTGAAGGTAACTTGAACCGCACGCCAAACAATAGATCTTAAACCACTACAGCAGAGGCGCACCATGGGAAACACATGACCGATCTACGTAAATCGGGGAGTCTCTCACTCCAACGGTTGCCGCTAGCCTCAGTTGAGGTTCACGCACGTGTTGACAAGAGGCAAGCGTCACAAGGCAAGCAACAGACAAGAAGCTTCACCGTGCGTGTCGGAATCTATGGGCGTGAGTGCACGATGGTAGACACCAGACAAGCTCTAGACCGACCAACAGTACGTATCATACCTGCGCCTGTTTGAGAGCACCGACGTCGTTGGCACCGTCCCCGCACATCATGCAAGTCCTGCCGGAATCCTTGAGGGCCAGCACAAGCGTCTCCTTCTCGTCTGGCGTCATCCTCGCGAACACCTGGCACAATACAACACGTTTCATTCAGGCCGAGGCAAAACGGACGTTAACTATGCAACACCGAACATTACGTGACGGCTCAGACGATGGCCCAGTTTCGCGACAGAGGAGCCCCAAGAGTGTGGTCATCTCGGCGAGAGAGATCGGTTTCGACCCCCTGCCGCAGCTGCACAGCACGCCACGGGTGCCACACGGTTGGGCAAAAGGTATCTACGTCTGGCCGAAACGAGTGATGGTACAGCAAGCAAGCATTTTGTCAGCGTCGGGCATCTCAACGCCACTCGAGACTCTTCGAGACAAGTGAACGGTGCCCTTGGTACGGAAGAAGAGAAGAAGAGCTTAGTATAAGAGCTACTGCATCACACGCGTGCTTTCATAGTGAAATTAATGCCTGGAAGCGGAACCGTCTAACGAACCCTAACTCAGGGTTAGCCGGGGGCAGGGCGCCAAACAAAATAGCATGAAATGTCCTAGGCAAACGTCGTATGTTCTTCCTGCGCATACTGCTGCACCACACACACAACGGACGACACACAACGCCCACCGTTTGCATCGCATTGGCATTGTACCAACACTCGTGCCAGGCTGGCGCACACCTCGACACCCACGAAAACCCAAAACACGAACCTTCAAGTACTGAAGACTCTTGGAGAAGCTGGGGAACTTCTCGAGCGCTGCTACGAGCACCTTGCCCGTCACCGCCAATGAATGGGTCAGGCTAAGGATGTAGATGTGCTCGGGTCGGAAGGGCCCCTCAACCAAACCCGTGTCGTAGCTTTTCCACACCAAGCCACCCCCCTCGCTCGAGCCCAGAGCCTCAAGGGTCAAAATGGGGAGAGGCTGGGCGTCCTTGGAAGCGTTCCTGAGGGTGATGCCCACCTGGTGACGTAGTAACGGGAGAGTACAGTAGCACAGCCAAGGGGTAGAAAAGCACACCAACAGTCCAGAAAGTGTCAGCCCCGTGGAGTAATTGACGCCAGAGAGTTATTGGCCGTCGCGAGGACTCAAAAAAAGAAAGTACACCTTCCTTCCCGTAGCAAATCGCAGACAAAGCAGACACGGCAACTTACGACCTGGTACGTGCTGTGTAACGCCCGCTTGAAGGGCCATAGATCGAAAAAAAAAGCACAGCTAACCACGGGCGGTAATGGTTGAGCTATGACCCACGCCACCCACCCACCATGAAAGTAGAATCACCATGAAAGTGGAACTGAATCAATCTAGAGCTGCCCTGCCACGAACGTGCCACAACGTCGAACGACCGTCACCATTGCACATGGAGCATATCCGTCCCTCTGAACGTCAAAAACTCAGGCGGCATTCCGGAGCGGCGGAATCACAAGCGGTAAAACAGAACAGAAAAACAAACGCAACGCGAAACCAACGAATCGGCTTCGATTCACCTCGTTCGCCACGTGCAGCGCCGTCAAAATGGCGTCCCCCGTCACCATTGCGACGCTGTGTGCGCCCTCTCTCAGCTGCAAGACCACGCTCCTCGTATCCTTGCGGACGCGGCACGAAAACGCCACGAAGCCGGCAAAGCGCAGGCCCTGCTCCGCCACCGCCCTCGACTCCTCGCACTCCAGACCCTCCTCGTCCGATCGAGGACGCTTGTAGGCGAGGGCCAGCACGCGCATCCCGCCTTTTGCCAAGCGGGCCGCTCGCTCGTCGTAGTCTGCCGGCCTCTCTCCGTCACGAAGCCTGGCGCCGATGGCTTCCGGAGAACCCTTGACGAGAACCCACCAACTCCCGCTACCCTGGCCACCGAGGAAAAGGATTGGGTGGTGTGGATGACGTACAGCGCGCGAGTGTGGATGCAGCAGTGCTTGATCAAGCCCGTTGTGGTTGAGTTCACGGGCTGTGTAGCGCATGACGAACCTCACCCGAAATCTTAAGGCAGCGGAGACACGACGCCACCCCCCTTACAAAAGTAGGCGAAAAAACGAAAAGCTCCATGGAAAACATACACGACGCACGCAAGTGCCAACAAACAGCTGCCGTGTCCTGCACAGGTGATTAGCAGCTGCGACTCCACACACCGCACCGCACAGCACAGTACGCGCACAACACAAACCAGACCACCGCACCTGTGTCCTGGCCACGGTGCTCATTCGCTGAAGCTTGGAGCTGAAGTGATGACGCGTCTTGATGTCCAGTGCAGGTACCGAGCACCCGTCAACCTTGACGGCCTCACCGGGAGTTGCCGCCACCGCGGGAGCGGCCACTGTAACTTTTCCTGTCGCCGTACGGCCGGCCTTGGTTGCCGGTTTGGCCGGGGTGCCTTTCGGCCTGCAGGTATTGCTCGCTCCGGGCACGATCTCCCACTGCAGGAGAAACACAACGCACAGCGGTGAAACGTAAATTACACGCGCTGCCAGCACTCATCCTGGGGGTATGATGCCGCTCAGAAGGTTCCCACGAACTCGAGGAGAAAATGCCCAACGCACATCGTCAGAAATCGCACAGAGATCTTCCCAGAGATGCTCTGGGATCGCACGGAAACCTGCAAGAGCTTGCTCCAAGCCCTTCAGTCAGTATCAAAACAATGGTCTTTCTCGGCCATCGTAGGCAACGATCTCGAGAACACACACATACACACATCTAGACAACACTTTCGCGTTCACAGACAATGAAACAACGGCATCAAGAGAGGTGACGTAAAAACGCGGTGAACGGATTGTTCAGAAAAGGGCGTCAAAAGGCGAAGCGCCAAAAGGGAGTACCGTGCACCTCAAGGAGCCGACCTTTAACTCGTGGTGTACTTCACTCTGTCTCCCACCTTGATGGCCTTCATCGCCGCCGCCTCCACAGGGTCCCCCGCCTCGGACCCCTCCATCAAAACCAGCGACTGGCACCCGGCCAGCACGAGGGTCGCGGCAGCGGGGGCCTCGCGCATGGTAACCAAGGTGTCCATCAGCGAGCTCCGATCGCCGCCGCGTTCTCTGCCGCCGGAGCCCTCGCCTCGGGAAGGGGCCGGCGCTTCCACGCCAACAGCGACTAGCTCGTCCGTAGTGAGGGTACCTGTCTTGTCGAAGAGGCACACATCCACCTTGCCCGCCATGGGCACGCGGTATGGCTCGGTGCAGAAGATCTGCGGAGTGGGTGGGTGGGCGTTGGTGGCCATGCCGTTAGACTCTTTTATTGCTCGGCAAACAATGAAGGGTGCGCATGAGGGTCACTACTATTATAAGGCAATCTACTACTCCGAGTATAAAGTGTCACGCCTGCGAACTCGCGACTTTTCGTGTGCTGCATCGCTCAGTTCAGTTCTGAATAAACCCTATCCCGATCTGACTCATCCTCCCATCCTGCAGTATTATAGTACGCAACGGTAAGGCACACGACAGGACGAAGCGATTATCTGCTGCATAAAGCAGCTGTCCAGACGCAAGGTCACCGAAAAAACATTGTACATACGAGTATCACCACAAGCATACCTGCATTTTCATGAGCGCCATGAGGCTGGAATTGACAGCGAGGGCCATCTGCATTGGTAGCTCGGGCGGGATGACCGATGTGACGATCAATATGCAGTGGAGCAACAGCTGGTACTTGGACCGCTTGGCCGAGTCCTTCATGCCTTCAATGAGGACGTAGGTCGAGGCCGACACGGCGAACACGAGGAGCAATAGGAGCAGGAGCACCGTGTCCCTGGTGTCCGTCCGAACCGTCTCCGTGCTGCCCTCGATCATGCGGACCAGCTTGCCCTACGACAATAAACCGATCATGATGAGATCAACGAGCAACGGTTGAAGCGTCGGACACGGCAGATTGCAAAATTCAAGCTTCGAACACAAAATTGCTTACCCGGTATGTGGGAAGTGGGACAAAAGCCACAATTGGACCAACACAACCCAAGTGAAGGACAGGGACGAACGTCTTGGATTCGGCAAATGAAAAAGAGGACGTATTTTCCTGACGTATTCGAGATTCTTCAACCACGCCACCCATGTTTCTGGACCGGCGTTGCGGCAGGCAGTGGCACCCTGTATCGGCGGTGGCAGTAAACGCACGTTACAAAACGGCGTGGATACCAGGTACAGCTTCGTAAGAATACACGGAATAGGGCAAAATACGTTAGCCTTGCATTGCGCGCATCGTACCAACGCCCACAGAGGCACGCACCTGCGACGAGCTGAACCCCGTGCGTAAGACGTAGCAAAGGCATCCGCCATCCGGGGTTTCCTTCCACGACTCATCCCCAACACCAACACTCGATTCGTCCTCATCCTCATCCTCATCCTCATCCTCGCTCTCTTCCTCTTCAGCTCGTCCCTCTTGATCTTCGGTCTCCTCCATATCGCCTTCCTCTTCTTCACTACCCTCATCGCTATCGCCGCCCGCACCAACTGCTTCCTGGCCCTAGTGAGGAAGTCCGGAAATCAAAACGCGCTGCAGGTTCACACGGCAGGATGCGGTTCGGAGCGCTAGGGCTCTCAAACAAGTGCCCTAGTGGCTGCATGGCAAGCCAAACGCATCGATCCAAGGGTGAAAATACAAGTCCCCGGGCGTGCAAAGGGACTTGTTCCTATCAGACCACCATCTGCAAACGTCCCGCCATCACGCATGCAGATGGTGGTCTTCTAGACTGCCGTGTGTATACGATAGGAACGGACGGTCACAATGAAGGTTCCTACGTGCTAGAAGTAGCGACATAGGACGCCTACTATCGACACGTCTCTGTCGCATATGCAAGCACGGAACCAACAGCATACAGACTACAACATTTGCAAACGCCCAACGGCAGCGTTTGGTATCAACAAGGAGAGGCCGACGCTTGGCGTACCTGGCTGTTGCAGGTGAGAAGCTTGGTGCCGCCGAAAAGCGTGAAGACTTTGTGGTGGCCTTCCTTCATCATGAAAATCTGGCACCACACCAATTGTTTCATATAGCAGCAGACATGACATCAAGGGTCAGCGTCACACTTGCCAGTTGGCTTGGGAGATTCACAAGAACATGGAAAGAACCTCCACTGTTAGCCCTGCGCCTGACCCCCCAAAATGTTGTATGCGCGTGGCACGGCTATTCGGCTTTCTCTGGCCAAAACAAAGTTTTTCCGCTCGTCCGGTTGACGACGCCGAATCTTGTTTTGACTTGATATTAAACAGCGAGAGGGAAACATGAAATACTCGATGCCACGAACGAACTGGCTCTTGCAGTTCAGTACACACCCGTGAATAGAACACATCTATGGAGTCATCGGATAGTTTTTCAATCGGCGTGCTCTTTCCCATCAAACCCTCTAAAAACACGTGATTTTTAGCCTTTTTCACCTGCTGCCACGAACGTGTGCAACTTCAATCACAATGGCGTCCGATCAGATTGTAGCTCTGGTGTTTGCGGAGGTGGTACAAGAAACCGCTCCAGAATCCGCTGCGCCAACATCTCTCAAAACGAATGCCAAGATTGGGTAGTTTTGGGTGACGCACGGTTGAAAAAGTCCCACGCTGCAAAAAACAAATCTGGTAGCCACAAACCAGCCGATTCATACCGAGGGACGGGTCAACGGCGTGAAGACCAACTGCCGTCTACGTAGCGAACAAGTAGGGAGCGAGCTCAGAGGGAGCATCGCTAGGTGGGAGGGTGCGAAGGGGTGGTCTGTTTGGGGTTTGGGAGCGGGGACGAAGCAGGCGCGGCCGGCTATTGAAGGAGCGTGGCGGGTATTTTGTTGCGTGAAATTGAATTTTTCATGCGTTGTTCTTTTTTTTGCTCATGAACCGACTCTTGGGCGACATTGCGTGACTCCACCACCGGTGCTACGCTGCAGCTCTTGCTACCGTTCCTGTGCCATGAGTAGCAGTTGGAACCCTGCTTTCCTCTCAGTGTCTCTTCAACTCCGTGTAGGTTGGGAAGGGTGGCGGCAGCTTCAGTTCCTTTTTGTACGATGTTGAAAAAAAATCAGACCCTACCTGCTCTATCTATCTTTCTCATTGGGGGGTGTTGTTTTTCCGCTCATCTCTGACATTTGTGCCCGGGCGCAAGAGCTCTACCGCGGGCACTACTGCAGTTGTTGCTACCGTTCCTGTGCCATGAGTAGCACTGGGTGCCCTGCTTTCCTCGCAGTGACTTTTCAACCCCGTGTAGGGTTGGGAAAGGCGGCGGCAGCTTGGTTACTCTTTTTTTGCACCATGTTGAAAAAGCAGACCCTACCCGCTTCTTCTCCATCGATCGGTGTTTGTTTTTCCGCTCATCTGACATTTATGCCCAGGCGCAACGGCTCTGCCGCCGGCGCTACTGCAGCTGTTACTCCAGTTCCTGCACCATGAGTAGCACTGATTGTCTGACTTTGCTCGCAATGTCTCTTGAACCCCATAGAGGGATGGGAAGGGCGGCGGCGGCTCAGTTGCTTTTTTGTACCTTGTTTGAAAAAAGTCAGACCCCACCTCTACCCACTCTTCCCATCGATCGGTGCTTTTTTCCGCTCATCTCCGAAATTTGTGCCCGGGCGCAACGGCCCTGCCGCCGGTACTACTGCCGCTTAATGGACCGTTTCTACGCCATGAGTAGCGGTGACTGTTCTGCTCTCTATGCAATGCCCCTGCAGCCCCACAGCCGGGTGGGAACTGGGGTGGCTGCAGCAGTCCCATTTCGTTGTCAACTCAAAAAAAAAACAGGACACACCACAGCCGATGTTTAGTCTATTCGGTTGGCAAACTGACGTGGCTGCCAAAAATGCGGGGATTGATTGGATATAAAATAAAAATTTCAGCAAGATGGACTGTTCGAAAGAACATCCGCTGGACAGAAATTTGGCCCAAAAACAGGGTCAGGCGCATGGCTAACTGTTGTTAGTGGCAGCCTAAGTAATAAATAACTCGCGCGGACGGACGCAACGGACACCCGGGAAAGGAGAAAGGCATTTTTTGTCTGCGCCATTTTGGAGTTTTACATCAGACCAGGGAGAGGCGAAACATTAGAAATTGCGCTGCCCCTTTACACCCCCGTCCCCTGCTCGTGTGTCTTGGTGAAGTGGATGGGTGCCCGATTGACCACTGGCTCCACAGGAGAGGAAGGGCAAACACCAGTATGCCGTCCATCCCACCACCCTCGTCCTCCCCAAGGACCAAAGTACACCGTCGACACGGTCACCATCGACATCACTCCGAAAGACTGAACGCCCCAAATTGGCGAGTGAGCAAACAACAACAGAACAACAGAACGCACCTCGTCACCCCCGTCCTTGGAAGCCAGTACCCCTTCTTTCATCTGAGGCACACTCTCCCCTGTCAACGTCGCCTCGTTAAGAACGGCCGAACCGTGCACCAGCATGCAGTCGCAGGGCACCGTGTCGTGCTTCTTGGAGCGCCTGAGCGAGAAAAGGTCTCCGGGAAGAAGCTCCTCTGTCGTAGAAGATTGCCACCTGGGACACGCAGTGCAGTGCAGCGGCCAGTCAAACGCTGAAAAAAACGCAACACAGGGTTCCATGCACACGCGTTTGGACGCCTATCCCTTACCTGTGGATCATGGTTCCATGGAATAAGTTCGTTCAGGTCGCTGCCGGCGCTAGCGACCCACCAATGTCAGCGTGAATCTCATTGAAAATGCTCCTGTGCTGCTGCACTGTAGCCTATTCGTAGAGGTCCCTTCCTCGGAAACAAAAGGGGCACCGTCATACCTACGGCGGTGGCGGTTTCTGAGAGGTTACTCGACGTTGTAAGCCACCGTGCGGGGTCAACTATTGGGCTCCAGGAGGGAGGTATAGCGTTGCTCGAGAGCCAGCACAGCAAACGACACGACCAAGGCTAACCCTCACCTGCCAGCTCGGAAGACTTTTAGGTTGACAACATCGTTTCCCATGCCCTTGAGCGTCTGCAAGTTCTTGAGCCTCTGCATCACCACTGTGGCCTCGAAAGACGCGATCATGAACAGGGTGAACAGGAAGTATTGCCAGTAGCTGTCCAGCAGCCACAGCGCCGTGGAAAACAGCTGGTCGACGGCGGGGGGAGGGGGGAGAGAGGAGAAACACCGCATTTAGGCCATACTGCATGCTGTACACACGAGCGTGCAGAGGGGAAGCCACCATCAACAGACAGCCCCGAACGGGTATGGAAAGGCTGTTGTTGCCACCAACAACACCGGCATGCATAACCCATGTACAGCTCAAGGTACACCCTGGCATTTTATTCTCCAATGATACGCAAAGGTACTCGAACAAAGGGACCGTTGGTCTGCTTCATCAACAGAATACCCCCACTTTTACTACTCTTGCATTGCATGTCAGCTTACATACCTGGAATATCGTGAAGGGCGACAGCAGCTGCGCCTTGTAAAGATCCAAGAACTTGGGCATCTCCATCTCGAAGCGGTTTGTCCCGTACATGAGGCGGGCGCTCTCCACCGCGGCTTCGGTCGGCAGCCCTCTCCACCTCCGGTAAAAGCTCAGAGGCCTGTCCACGCGACAGCGGATCTTCACGAAGGCCTGGGAGCGCTGGTCGTACACATACTTGCGGCGGTGGAACTCGAACGCGGGGCCGAGGGGCGAAGGCTCGACGGGCACCAGCAGCGTTTTCCCGTTTCCGCAATGCGGTTTCGGCCTGGCCATTGCGTGCGTTGCCCGTGTCGGGTCGTCTCGAACGGGACGGAAGCGAACCAGGCAACGGAACGCCACGGACCAGTGCTGCGAGAGAACCATGAGAAGGTGGAGGATGAACACGACGGCAAGCCAGAGGACGGGCCAGAAGCCCGGGAGATATTTCCACGGTAGGTGGACCTCTTTTACGCCGCCGGTGCCCTCCTCGGCGTCCTGCCCAGACAGTAACGCTGTCAACGCAGAGCGGTGGCTATCCTCGGAGTTGGGCAGGGCCCACCCCTCCTCCTCAGCCTGGGCGAGAGCGTCGTTGTATTGCTCACCTATAGTCAGAAAGCACTGAAGCAGCAGAGACAGAGGCAGGCAGCAACGGAGGCTAAGATCGCTGCAGAGAGAACGATAGAACCGACCCAACAGTACACGAGAGAGGCCCCCTACTGCTGCTGTATGTGGACCTGCATTGTAGGTCCAGGTCTAGTCTGCACCAGACGACCTGACTAGTACCGTTGAAGCGGATGGACTGCTGTATTGTTGTGTTGGCGTAGGCTACAGGAGTAGACTACAGACGCAGCCCCGGGCGAGGGAGGGAGGTTGTGCTTTACAATAGAGGCTACAACACAAAACAGTCAGCGACAAGCGAGACCCCAACAGACAACAATGCTGCTGTGATGCGGGACGCGGAACATCACTTCTCCTGCCTCCTGCCTCCTGCCTCATCATTCACACCTTCTGCAGAGCCCACGCGTAAGCGACGAAGAAGGGGTAGTTCTCTCGCGAAAGCAGTCCCCGCGTAGGCAGCCATCCCTCGCTGCCAATCTGCTTATGTAAGGACAGCTCCTGGATGCGGCTCCCTGTCCATGCCACCATGGTAGGACGACGTCAATCTTGACAATCCCTGCCAGTGTGCTGTCGGTCGGGAGGAAGTTCTACGGCCTGCGTGCCTATGCTGCGGTCTCGGCCTGTCCAGCTAGGACGCGCATTGCTCTGCCGAGGTCTCATTGAAACCTCGGAGGCGTCGGAGAAGCGCGCGGGGACGAAACGTTTTTTTTTCGAATCATGAGCACACTTCCAAGAAAAGAACCGGTAGGTCGCTGGGTACTGCTGATGTGGTGTCATCAAGCACGAGCCCACCTCCTGCTCTTGTTGGACCCACCACCCGCGGCGTTCAAGTAGGCTTGGGTGAACGCTCATTATGCCACGAGGGGAAGATCGGGAGCTGGTGGGCGCACCAGCGGACCACGGAGGCTGCGGCAACGTCGCTGATGCAACCGCCGCCGCCGCCGCATCAACATCAGTAGCAGCAGCAGCCGCAGCAGCCGCGGCCGCAGCCGCAGCAACAGCAGTAGGGCCACCCTTACCGCCGGGCTCATCTTCAAGAAACGATGAATTACCTTCGGTGGGAGCTATTTTCGGCCAACAACGAGACAGGAGGAGCTCCTCCGAGACACTTTGCGGTTCCTTGTTCCCGTCGAGTCATGTTGTTCATGATGATGAGGCTTTGCGCGAAAGGTTGCCAGCTGTGAGGCAGCAAGACATCCCCGACGTCCTGAAACGCATGTCAGAGATGCAAGTTTTCGAAGGCAGCGCCAGCGGGACAGGAGGAGCCCTAAACGGAAGGTTGAGCAAGGGTGTTCCATCTCTGCCGCGCGAGCCGGATAACTCGGCCGTAGTGTTCGATGTCGACGCTCTTCGAGCCGCCTTCGCCGCAGCGAAACAGGCCTTCCCTCCCCACTGGAACCACTGCGTGGCCGTCAAGAGCTGCCCGCTGTCGGTCGTAGTTCAGGAGGCGGTACGAGCTGGTTTAGGAATCGAGGCTGCATCTTTTGTGGAGCTGTACATGGGCCTTGCTCTTGGCTGCCCCGCAGTTCTTGCTGCGTTTGACTCGCCGGCCAAGACCGATGGGGAGCTGGAAATGGCTTTGGCGCGAGGGGTCCTGATAAACGCTAACAGCCTGGTAGAACTAGATCGGATTGATGCCATCATCAAGAGGCAGGGCTGTGCTACTTCCGCGCGTGTCGGCATCAGATTGAATCCTCTTGTAGGAGCTGGCTCTATCGCCGAGCTAAGCGTGTCCACCTCAACCAGCAAGTTCGCAGTGCCAATGACTCCCGCGAACGTCCAAGCGGTGGTGGATTCCTTCCGCAAGTGGCCGTGGCTCGTTGCTCTGCATACTCATGTTGGCTCGCAGGGGTACTCGGTCGAACAGTTGGCCGAGGGCATCGCAGTTCTTTGCGAAATTGCGGATGTCATCGACAGCAAGTTGGGGAAGGGGAGAGTCACTTTGCTGGACATTGGCGGTGGCCTGCCGGCAAACTACGACTCGGATGAGGTTTCACCCACCTTCCACGAGTACGCTGCGGCTCTGAAGAAGGCCGCACCCTCTCTCTTTCACAACACCGAGCGCATCGTCGTGACGGAGTTTGGCAGAGCTTTTGTGGCCAAGGTTGCAATGACGGTAAGCAAGGTGGAATACGTCCGTTCAAGCGATGGCTCGGGAGCCGAGGGACGTGCCGCCGGTAAAGCAACTCAGCAGGAAGAGGACCCATCGAACGTTGTTGGTAGCCCAGGCAAGGTACCGGAGTCGTCTTTGCCTGTCGAGGACCACCAAACATTGGTGACGCATATCGGAGCTGACCTATTCCTGCGCACCAGCTACTGCCCCGGAAGGTACTCCCACCGTTTGTCGATGTACTCCAGGAACGGGGCCGCATTGGGCGGGTCTGCGATCAGGACAGATGTGGCGGGCCCGTTGTGCTTCCAGGGAGACTACGTGGCGCGCGGCGCGAGCCTTCCTCGCGCTTCGCCAGGGGATCTAGTTGTCGTCCACGATACAGGGGCGAACACGCTATCGCTGTTCAGTCGGCACTGCTCGCGGCGTTTCCCTTCGGTGTACGGGTACGCGAGGAATGCCGACGGTACCGTATGTGTTCGGCTGGTGAAGGAAAAGGAGAGCGTCCAAGACGTCGCGCGCTTCTGGGGTGCTTGGTGAGACACTGTAAACGTGTACGACAGTACTGAGCGTACCCATTACATTGATGATGGAGTGTTAAGCTTAGCAACGTGATCTGTGTCATGCAGTTTGTTTTGCAGCATTGCGAAGCTCTGGCTTCAGTCTCATCCGGCAGATATCCGGGGAACTCTCATTCCAATCCTCCCAGCCTCGGCCTACTGGGCCTCAAACGCCGGTCTCGAACCTGTGACGCAAACCTCCACGCTTCTCAAACATGGCAAAGTAAGCAAGAACAAATCATGTTCATCCCATCTACTATCATCGCTCCAATTTCTTCCTACCCTACGACGTTGCCCCTCTAGTTGAAAAAGCCGTGGTCAAGGGTGGTTGTTTGTTTGCATGAGAGTACGAGTGATCGCATCCTCCCCAGGCCGACTTCCACAGCTCGATTTCTCCGTAACCAAGAGGTTTCCAGTGCTGTGAAAGGTAAACTTGAATGGTCTCGTCCCGAGCTTTATTGCGCGTGTTTGTCGGTTCCAAACCCTCTAGTTGTAGAGCTATCGAGCTTTGAACGTCGGTCTAGACTAGAGGATGTGCGATCGCCTGCATCAGAGGTATTCATGAAGAGCACTTGCCCCTCTCTCGGGACTCAGCTGGGTCTGTGCAAAGGTATGACGGAAAGCGTCCTTGGCACTAGTGTTTGCTCGAACGTCCTCCTCGCGGCGGTCTCGGTCCTCGCTATAGAGAGAGTACGCGGAGGGGTTTCCCACATGCATCATTGCAAAAAGCCTGTACCCTACGAATGAACCTCGAAAGAGCAAGAATAGCGTTTCTAATTTTTGTTCAAGCGTCATGTCGTCCGTTTAGACACATACTCATTCCACGCCTTTGATGATCCTACACCCTACAGCGATGGACCTACGGCCACCAACCAACCTTCGCAACTGGCGAAGTTGAGCAACATCTCCCGTTCCATGCACAAAGTAGTATCAGGGGTCCCGGAGTGCCCTACACGCCTGTACCATCATATCCAAAGGACAACGCTTATTGTAGCATTTTTGCTGGGGCCAAATATAAGACGTACCGTAGGTTGCATCTACTCGGGAATCGATACCCGCTTACCGCCTCTCCGAAAGAGGATGATCGTCTCATTCACAACCTTATCCCGCACTCTGTTGTACGTTGAACCACGTGGCACGACTCTGTGATACTGAACTATTTTCTGGTAATCTTGTTGTTGGAAGTCCTCTATCTCAAAGCCCGATGATGTACATACTTGATGATGCAGCGTTTGATCAAGAAGGCACTCCATGGGTCAGCCAATAAGCATGCCGAGGATTGAGGCAACGCGAACGCTTCCGTTGGCCAAGCAACGGCGGACCGATGGAGTGAGGAGGCGGACGTGCGATTTCCAGACGGTGAAGGACCTTCTTCCTCCCAAGCCTTTCAAGGGTAGCGTGTCGAGGGATAGTTGATGTTTGCCTCCTTTTCGGAATAGCCGTGTCGTTTGGATGTTGTGTAATTCTTGCTCGAGTTTTAAGAGATTGGCGGCTTCCATGGTGATCCCGGTTGTCTGTCTGCATTGTAGTGATTTATAGACGTGGGCGGCCGTACGCGATGGGCGATTGGTTGCTACTGTCATCTGCCATGAACACAAATAATTCGAGGCGAGTTGTGAGGTGTTCGCTCGTCACACCTGTATCTGTCTGTACAGATGCAATGACCGTTGACAGATCGTAAGGACGCAAAGACAAGAGCGCCCTTGTTTAGAGCTGCGCACGCGCCCCCCCGCCGCAGTGTCTGCATGCGTGGACACGATGTTGGCAGCGGTGTGTCGCGTTCAGCTACAATAATAATAATGCCGACTTCCACCTTTCTCCCGCAGAAGTGCACGGCAGCGAATGTGGGGAATGCAATGGCAGGCCTCACGAAATGTGGGCTGAAATACAGGATGTGATGCGGTGCTGTACTTTTAAACCTATTATTACAAGACACAGGAATAGTGGAACTACTGCTGTACGTTTTAGCTTTCACATGGAACTCCCCTTGCCGGAACGTTTGTGGCATAGACTAACAGAATATGGCTTTTCTGTCGAATGTGAAGATATTTCAATCGACCGTGTAGGTTACAACCTCGACCGAGGGTCTACAGCTTAAAGATGGAGTGCCTTGAGGGAACGAGGGGCCCGGCACGAGCAATCGTCTGAATATTTTCTTTGTTCTGATGGAGTCTTCCATGGAAGTGGTGAGAGCTTCCACAGAAAAGCTTCCCATCTTTTCCGTGGAAGTTCAACAGGAAAGTGCTTCCAGGAGGCTGTATGGAAGCGTTCGTGAAGCCTATTTTTCTTCCTTCCATAGAAGCTGCCATTACTGCCATGGAAACGTTCGCCTTGTCCTCTACAGGCACCTTAGATAGAGGTGGAATCGCGGAAACCATCGATTACAACTGTAATGGACGTTTTGCATATTATCCACGGCAGTGGTGGGAACGCTTCCATTTGCACTGTCAGCTTAGGAACCCTTGACCTCAGTTTCCTGTGGCAAGTCCTACACTACTGGAGTGACTGTCGGTGGCGTTTGTCTGGATATATCCCATGCACCCGGAGTCTCCCGGTAGATCACGGTGCCGGGGGGTCCAAGTGTTTGGCCCCTCGAGAGAGAGTACGCACATGTGTTTTGACTTCCCAATATCCCTAGGAACAAACAGTTCAGCCTGGAAAACCAGCCGTACCACAATCTTCGCCATCCCAGAACACTAGCGGGCTGGACAAGACAACAAGTCGCTTGTCCTGCGTCCGCAACGCTCTACCGTATCGGTTGTGTGGACAAAGTCTACATCTAGAATTGAAGCATATCCCTTGGTTTCGCCGGCTGGAACAAACCGGGCGGCACTACAGATCCAACGCATCACCACCGAACACCAACACCTATTGACCTACTTCATACTTATTTCGTGTTCACACGGGAGAGAACTTCGTCAAGACACGCAGCCCCAGCTTTCGTTTCAAAACGGTTGGCGGTCCCTTCCTATTTTCTGGCAACTGCGGCAAATCATTCGTCGTTTTACTGTGCTGCCCAGGCAAATGGAGAGACTTCGTCAGTTTTCTGCACGGACGGCTGCGCAGCCGAACTGCACAGGTTGGTTATTAAGCTTCACAACCGTATCCGTCATCGCACTCGCACTCGCAATCGCAATCAATCGATTCCGGAGTTGGCTCCGGCGTTGGCTCCGGCGTTGACTCGGCGGTCGGCGCAGGAGTCGGTGCTGGGGTAGGTGCCGGGGTAGGTGCCGGGGTAGGTGCTGGGGTCGGCGCAGAAGTTGGCACCAGGGTCGGTGCTGGGGTAGGTGCTGGGGTAGGTGCTGGGGTCGGCGCAGAAGTCGGCGCGGGAGTCGGTGCTGGGGTAGGTGCTGGGGTCGGCGCGGGAGTCGGCGCGGGAGTCGGTGCTGGGGTAGGTGCTGGGGTAGGTGCTGGGGTCGGCGCAAGAGTCGGCGCGGGGGTCGGTGCTTGGGTAGGTGCTGGGGTCGGCGCAAGAGTCGGCGCCGGGGTAGGTGCTGGGGTCGGTGCTGGGGTCGGTGCCGGGGTAGGTGCTGGGGTCGGCGCAAGAGTCGGCGCGGGAGTCGGTGCTGGGGTAGGTGCCGGGGTTGGTGCACGAGTCGGCGCAGGCGTCGGTGCCGGTGTCGGTGCTGGGGTCCGTGCAGGAATTGGTGCTGGGGTCGGCGTGGGAGTCGGTGTAACAGTCGGTCCAGATGTTCGTGTTCAGTTTCGGGGTGAAAATAGGAGCGCTGTTTTGATGGTGCACGAGGTACACGTGATGGCATGAAGTTGGAAAACGGGGATCTACATGAGAGCAGCCAGAGCACGAGCCAAGCGACACTATATTGTAGAAATGAGCTGTCGAGCGAACTACAGCCAAATCACCATGCGGGTGGCATATTCCGGCGTCTGCCTTGTGTCAATTCTATCGCTATCGCAACGGCGTGACCTCGCGGTCATCAAAACTCAGCCTGAGGTACCTCGGGAGAAGGATACATGCTTCTTGCCGCGTGTGAGACTGTAATTATAGAGTCAGCTAAACGTGCAGGCAAGGGGTGGGATGGCAGCGAGCAACGTAACCAAGAGGGTTCCGAAAACAGATCCTACAATACACAATGGTTTTGCAGATATCGAGACTGAGACTCGTTCGTGACGGCAACAATCAGGTGTAATTCATGTTTAGGGCAGTCGGCACCCGATTGTCTTCATGTCTCGGTCAAGCTGGTTGGCGGTGGAACAACTCACCGTCAATGACGCACGGGGGCCGGGTGCCAGGTCTAGCGCACGGATCGCACGTCCGGATGATGTCGTCGATGCAACAGTCTAGTCCGTCACGCTTGTTCGAGGCGCATTCTGGGCCACCGCACGTGCCGCATGCGAGCTGTTGGCAGAAACGCGTATGGCGAAGGGGAAATTTAGAGCGGGGCAGAGGTGTCGACAACAACGAAGCTTTCCAAGCGATCCACAAGTTCAGCATGAAAATGGACGACAGCAAAATGTAGACCGCCTCCACTTTCACCATTGGCCTGCAATTTGACGTCGCACAACACTTGAATGTGGGGCTAGCCTCACCGGGCAACAGACGATGCCATTGCCGTTCTGGCCAACGTTTCCTTTCATGCCCGGGTGGTAGGGGGCGCACGTCTTGTGGGGTGGTGTCGGCTTCCTCGGTGGGGAAGGCTTGCGTGGCTTCCGGGAAGGCTTGCGTGGCTTCCGGGAAGGCTTCCGTGGCTTTCGGGAAGGCTTTTGTGGCTTCCGGGAAGGATGGCGTGGCTTCCGGGAAGGCTTTTGTGGCTTCCGGGAAGGCTTGTGTGGCTTCCGGGAAGGATGGCGTGGCTTCTTGGGCGGCATCGGTGCCGGGATCGGTACCGGTGCCAGTTTCTTCTGCGGGGAAGACGTGCCTGGGGAGGTGTCCGAGTTGTGAGTGTACGGTTGACGTTGACGATTGTGGGCAAAAGGTGGTCACTTTACAACGACACACTTTCGATATTCGATTTAGCACGCAACGTTTCAACGATCGACTCGGCAGGAATGTATGAGTAGTACCTCCGGAAGGAATATCGATCAAAGTGGGAAACAAAAGAAAATCCGAATTGCCTAAAACGATGAATCTGTTGCCTACTGCTGTGTACACCTACTGCTGTGTACAGTTTCTCTGTCTTGTGAATCACTTGGTGCCACCGTACATTCTGCCAACACACATCATCGGGGCCACTAAGAAACAGTGCAAACGTTTTGGGGGTTGGACCCAACAAAACTCAGCGACAGCAACCAAATGTTGGTCGACGGGTTTGGTGATTCGAGAAAAGTAAAATCATCCCGGGCCACGCCCAGACGATACTTACCAAACACCCATGTCCTTCCTGCACACGCGCGTCCTCTTTGTTTTTTTAAAGCCCTGTGACTATCAGCCCCTCTGCTAGGACCCCCAATCGGTTCAGATACAACGGAGCTGCCGCCATGCACACCGGCAGAGATACCAATCCAAAATCCATGTCACGAAACCAGATGTCATGCTTTTGTAGACAGTCGGGGTTTGATAGCCCCCCCGTCTATGAAACAAACAGCATTCACCGTGCTTCTCGCACTCGTGAGTCTCACAGCAACCATGGCCGCCGACGAGTCATGCGAGCCCTTCCCTGTCTCACCCTTGGGTCCTTCGATGATGCACGGGGCTTTAGCTCCACGGTCTGAGCAGTCGCCCTGGCTCCGGAGGACGCCAGAGACGCAGCAGTCATCCCCACTCAATCCTCGGGGTTGATTCTTCCGGCACCCCACGCCACCGCACTGTCTGCATTCCAGCTGTCGTAGAGGAGCACCCGGGAAGGCGGCATGCGGTGAGAGGGTAACGAGGTATCGAATGCAAATAAACCCTTCGCCGGTCCTTACGTGTTGAATGCAATAGTGAGCTACAGAGGATGCCAATTAGACCGTTGGTTTGCATGTAGACGTCACACAACACTCTAATCAGGAAAACGGCCTGTCTCACCGGGCAACAGATGATGCCTTTGCTGCCCTCGCCGACGTTTCCTTGGATGCCCGGGTGGTAGGGGGCGCAAGTCTTTTGGGGCGGTGTCGGTTTCCTCAGCTGGGAAGACTTGCCTGCGGTTACGACGGGATTGGAATTGCTCAAGAGGGTGTGCTATGCTATGTAGCTGTAAAAGTACGGTTGGCGTTGACGTTGTTGCGGTTGCTGGCAAGAAAGCGCTTTCTCGCTCTGTAAGACCTTCAGCTGCATGTCACGTTTAGCTTCAAACCACATGGCATCCACGCAGCGTAACAAAACCCACCTTGTCACGACTGGTTGTGGTTTGGTCTCTTAGAGCACGGGACGGAAGAGTCTATGAGATGGAGTCCCGTCTTGATCTACATGTATTCATATATATATAGGTGAGGTCTGCATCTTCTCGTCCCGCACGGTATGAAATGGAATGCCGCGTGACACTGCATAGAAGCCTCACGCAACCCTTTTCACTCACCACCTGACACAGAAGTGAGGAGCATGGCCATCGCGAGGAGCTTTCCCCACGAAGACGAGTAAACGCGTGTCATGATTCTTTGAACCTTGCAATTCAAGTTCGAGGGAAACGCGGGGGGTCGCGAAGAGACATATCAGAAATATCAACTCGTTCTGGTCGTGTGCAGCCGGATGGTTTCTTCGTCACCCGGGTTTCACCCGGACAATGAATTGTGAGGGATCCCGTGAACACGCAGATGCGGGGTGAGCATGACAATGAATGTTGGTTTGCTCGTGTCGGTCTGTTCTTTCGACAATCGGAACAACGGGCAACGGAACTTCCTGCCGAACGCCGGCGACTTACGCTTATAACTGTCTATGCTTCGGCGGGATTTCCCAGAAATCAACGACTACTCGCCTCAACAGCGCCTCGCCTGCGACGGGCAGTCCAACGCCAATGCACCATATGCCTTACCATATGTGTGTCGATGGCGCTCGTCTCTCCACTCTTTGAAAAAGCGCTTGAAGCGCGGAACACCAGTTGGTGGCTGTACATGTACATACAGTAGTTCGTTCTCGCTTAAAAGACGACTCCCCTCACAGCCGTTCGGCAAGATCGTTCGGAGGGTTCGCCTGGAGTTACCCACCTAACTAAACTCTACTGCTTGCAGTCAACTTCACACTTCCAGCAGTAGTACGGTCGACCCACTGGACAAGATGTGAGCTCGTTCGATTACATAGTTGCTCCTCTATTGTATTCACGCTTCACCTGCCTCGCCTGTTTTTTTTTCTGTGCGAGGTCGAGTTTGGTGCCGGTCGGCGATGTGAGCGAGTGGGTTGTGGCGCGCACTGCTGGATCTTCATGCGGGGTCAGGGACTTGAACCGAAATACATTTGCCTCGTTGAACCGAATGACGGGACTGTCAGATGCCTTGACGCGGGAGCAACAAATAAGAGCCAGGTCGTCACAACATAGCGTACCTATTGCGCCGAAAGGACTGTGCATCGTGTGAGGTGTCTCTCCCGAACGATCTTAACCTGATGAGTCCGAGTTGTGAACTCATCCATATCCATACTGCGAAGTCGACACCTGAGCCTGGATTATACCAGTCCACGCATGCATATGTACAGCAGTCTACATAATGCCAGTCTCGAGTTCCTATCTATGCCCCGAGTCTACTTTGAATATTGCACGGGGCTTCTGCACCACGGTCGAAATAACGCCCCTGGCTTTGCAGGGCGCCTGTGACGCAGCAGCCCTCCCCACTCAATCCGCGGGGTAATTCCGCGGGGTAATTCCTGCATGCGTCCAAAGCCACCCCATCTCGTCTTCGTCCTAACCGCCGCCGTCTTCATCACTTTGCTTGAAAACCACAATGCGTTTTGTATAGATACAGCTTATTTGTCTTCTTGATTTGTTGGCTGAAACTGGCCTGGAGGTATGCGTTGATTCGGATTCGGACGTTCGAACGATCGAACGGGGATGCCTTGATACCTTGGTTCCGCCGAGTGAGCCCCAGGACCAGCTGGGGCAGGATCAACTTTCCAGGCGCACTGATTGGCCGATGTCAACATTCCAGCCAGAAGAATGAGAGAAGGCGTGATCTCTCTTCACTGCATACACCCAGCGCCATTTCACCCACAGCCCAGGCGACAGGGAACTTTACCAGAGCAGCAACCCACCCGGAGAAAGTAGCCGCCTCTGAAGGGAGCCTTTGCTCCCACCTTGTTTGGCTTTAGTGTTCTGTTGGTGGGTTCACAGCAGCCCGTCTGGCCTCCAGCCCCCAGCAGATAGACCTCGCACTGCCATACTTTCGCTCCCTCTCTCTCGGTGAGTCGGGTTGCGGGTTAGAGGTTGTTTCTCTAGAGCAGTACCCTGATGGGGGGCTGCTGATGGGGGTGGTCGCCACGCCACCCAATTGGCGAGAATCGGAGATGTGGGTCGATACTTGTATGTAGATCAGCGTCGCTGCGACGGTACGTTGTAGACTACAATGACATTTCGCCGGAGGTGTGCGCAGTCCGGTTGTTCACCTCATGAAGTGGGCATGTGAGAGTGACGCGTGTCTACAGTCACTAGTAGCCGGACACTTTTTGCTTCGGCACCGGCCGCATACTTGTGTCGAAAATGCCTTTGTTCGTCTCCTTTTGCCGGTGCAACTGTTCTATATGTCCTGGGTGTACCCGATGGTTGGATTTTGAATCCGAGTCATCGCCAGCAACACCATAGAAAGAGGCTCTTCCTCCTCTGAAACGAACGGACGGCCGTTGGGATTCGTGCGCATACAGCAGTAACGTAGATGGCACAAGATACCACACCCAGGACCAACTTCCAAAGCTCGGTTGCTCCACACCACAAAGAGTGGTGGTGCCGAAAATGGATGTGTGGGAACTGTCTCGTCGAGAGCTTTCCGACAACGTCTCGCCGTGTTTACGCTTCCTCTTTGTCGTGGAATACTCGAGGTTTAAACAATCGATACAGGGGGTGTGGTACCTTGTGTCACCGACGTTAGACCTGTGTGCCATACGTGCGTTCCCTATCGATTTGGTCTTTCGGTGGTTTCTCTGCACAGAGTGCAGTTCTTGCAAAGCTATTCCCCGCGACCTGTGTTTATGTCACGTCTTGTGCGGCGGCTGTTCGAGGCCACGGGGCCATAGAACCCACGGAAGCTGAGGTGGCGATGGTCATCGACATACATGCATGCGAGAGAACCGAATAGCACCCGCCAAGAAAAATTAGGCTCTTGTTGTGCATTATGTTCCCGTGACACGGCAGTCTTTTATTGCAAGATGACCCCTCCCCACACATCGAAGCAACAGCAATAACAAAGGTATCCGCCACGGGCTGTGTCCATGCTACGTCTTGTGTGGTGATTGATACAGACCAAGAGGATGTAGGACGCTCACAGAAATTGCAGCCCGAGAGTCTGGGACAGCCGCCGCGTTCTGATGGGATCAGGTATGTCTGTTTTTTCCCCAGGTCAAGGTTTAGTTCACCAATGATCCTTCTCCACACACCGAAGCAACAGCAATGACAATGACATGCGCCACTATTCAGCTCTGTGCATGGCTCCCTTCCCCCGACAGTTTTGTCTTGGCAATCCCTGCGGTGATGCGTGTTTCGCTGAATTCTTCCGCTGTTCCTCATGGTGTGAACCAAGCAACCGCGTGTGTCTGGGTGGGAGATCTACGATGCCTTGGCTTGCTGTTCCTCTGCAAATCCGCGGGGATTAGGGTGAGTATCTCCTGTGGTTTTTGGGTACAAATGCCGGTGGAGCATGGTTATCTGCTGTCGGAGCACGTGTGGTGAAGAGCGCCCTATTTTTCGTGCTCCCGTTAATCAATGCTCTATAGATCTCGTGCTGGTCTCGTGCTGGTCGAAAAGGATGGAAAATTCAGGCGGTTGTTTACTGAAACTTGGCCCCCTGGTAGATAGAGCCTGTTTGTTCCCTCCTCGGACGGATGGAAAAGAACGTCGCGCTTCGCGCTCCTCTGCTCATTGTAACTGCTGACATTAGCGAACGGGTGAATACTCAGGTCCACAGCATCTGCTTCCTGCCCTACTGTGATACGTGTGCTTCGATGTGTCTGGATCGGGCGGACCAGCGGCCGCTCGCACGCTGTGTTATTTCCGAGAGTAACCTGCCTGGCTACATGGCGTGCGCCAGCGTTCTATTTGGTGTGTGGAGTTTCTCCTCGTCGCTAGCTCGCCTCTCGAACCTTTTGTAACTACACAAGCTCCATTGCTCGGTACCAGACTTTTAAGGTGGCACGCCTTCACGTACAAGCCAGTAGTTCTGTTCCGTGTGTTCCTCCGTCCATGCGTTGTGCAGTGTTACGTGCGGTAACTGAAGTTGGGCTCGATTGCGTAATAGCACTATCACGGTTTTGGACACTCAAGAATGCGATAGCGCGTTGGAAATCATCGATGTCATACAGTGGTTGTCCAGACTGAGAGGGAGTTCGACTGGCTCGAGGCGTGCTCCGATATTTGCCAGGACTACAGGGCACAAGTTTTGGAATGTGATGATGGCCTGCTTTCGTTCGACCCGCAACTCATCCCAGTGCCTCCCCGTCTTATCAATCACCACGAAAAACGGGGGGGCTGTCGCCATAAATAAATAGGACGAAAACACAAAACACACACACACCTGTTGGTTTTTCAACGTTCCAAGAATGGGCTCTTGGCACAGGTCCTGTTGAACTGTTGTTGCATGAGACGGGTACTGGATAATGCGAAGTGACAGAGCCTAATTCAATAATCTTTTCCTGCATCGCATCCCAACGCGCCCGCATCGTGCTCCCACCCCATTGGTGTTGTCCCCGTTGTGGTGCACTGTTGTCAACCAACCGTCCCTGCCATCCCCTGCGCCGTTCCTTGTCGCGTGTTGGTGCCTTTTACAAACCCTCAAAGACTAAGCCAAGCCAAGTCGCACCGGAAAGTGTAAGAGACTTATCGGTACCTGCGTGGTGGTTGTGATGGAAGGGAAGCTGGGGAGCGCTGGAAACGCCAAAAGGCACGATGAGGCGACAAGGGATGGAACAGGGACTGAAGTAAAAGCGGGAGAGAAGAGGACAGGTTAATAATTTTGGGACCCTGCCATTCCGAAACGATGTTGTTTTTTCCAGTGTGCTCCGGTACTCGTTTTGTGTGTGTATGCGTGTTTCTTTGTGATCACCTCCCCGAGCGTGATAACAGCGACAGAGAGGTTGGACAGAACCACACGAACACCCATGTGCTCGTCGGGTGGGTTTCCCCGTTTCTTTTCCCCCCGGCGCACGCGTGTGCCCTCTCCACAAAACCCTAGCCCTCTAGGTGGAGGCCACGCTGGAGCACGTCTTCGGTTGTTCTCGCCTCTGGGCTTGTGTCGGCCCCGGCCCGGGGTGAGCGGGGCGACGCCTGGCGAGGTTTCTACTCTCCTCTCGTGGTTTCGAAGGCGTGCGAGGCGTGCGAGGGGGGGATAGGGGGGAGGGGGCATGCTTGGATCCGGCGTCGCAGCATAGCTGTTTCAGGTGATGAATGGGCTGAATAGGTATCGGGGGCCGGATTGGTTTATGCGGTCTGTGCTGGGCAAACACCGGTATCGTTACTCTTTTTTCGCGATTGTTTGTTTTTCTGTGTTGTTGCTGCGGTTGCTGGTGGTGGTGGTGATGAGTCAAGGTGGTTGTGGTTGGTGGTGATGACGGTGATAAGCGGCCAATGGAATGTTGTTGTCGCTGTGTTGGGGTTTAGGGCCTTGGCTCAGTGCTCGTGCTGCTCGTGCAAGATTTCGGGCGTTCGACACCCCAGCAGGTGGCCGTAGTTGCTTCGATCGTTCGCGCACGGACTGCAAGGGAAAAAAAGAGAACTCGCCGCCACAGGCGCCAGCCCTGCCCCTACGTTCTTCTTCAAGGCCATCCGGCAGCTGCTACTGCCACCACCAGCCCGCTCGCCGATACGGCTTCGACAGGCGGAGGGCGTGGTCGCAGGTAAACGCTGGCTCGGCTTTGACGTGTGTGTGTTTGGCTCGTGCGCGTTCGTTCACCTTGGATGGGGGTTGCGGTACGCGTCTGGTGTGCTGTGTCCATGTAGTCGAGCGAGCCCGTGTGTGTTCGCGCTCTTGGGTCGACAACAAACAGGGTTCCCGAGACACTCCACGGGGTCTTTCGGCCAAGCGCCCACAGATGTTTAGCCGCCGTGTGCAATCGTAGGGCAGGCATCTTTCACCGTGGGCCCCGGCAGTCGGTCACCTTTACAAGCCCTGACCCCCCGCCCTGCCGCAGGGCACACACCCCGAGCTGAGGAGTGGGTGGGTGGTGGGATTCAGGGGCGCAGCGGCGGGTTCTCCCGGTTTTGCGCGGGGATACTGACGAGGGAGGGCTCTTCGACAGGTGGTGGACGTGCAACAAGCGCGCCTGGTGAGTTGATGGATTCGAATCGCTGTTAAGAGCCGTTGTGTTTCTGTACTTCGGTGGAGGCTGGTTAAAGGCTGGCTTCAGTGGCTGCGCATGTTTTGGCAAGCTCGTGGGTTGGGGGCGTTGGGATGCTTCGCCCGAGTGGCTTCGGGGCACGTTTCGCCGCATTTGCGCCGACAGATTGTTTTGTCCCGCATCGATGCAGCTGTAACAGTGCCCTGTTTTTTTTTCGGTCGGCGACAACGGTGATGCGTAGAACACGGACTGCGGTACAACGCTGGCCCGATCGTACTCGATGCCGCCCTGACTGGCCGCCCAACTGTTGACGTTGCCACCTCTTCTCTAGGGCCTCTATTCCCACTCAAACAACGACGGTGTTGACCCTCACTCTTCGATCAACGGTAAATAACGAACAGGCTCTCATGCTCAAGGTTGTCCGAGTTGTCCTCCTGGGTGTGCTCTCCGATTCGACGGCCGGAAGGCAGCTAGACGCTGCTGCTGCTGCTGCTGCTGCTACTCCTGCTGCTGCTCTTACTGTCCCCTCGGCGCATTTTCCTTCTCGCGGATCCAGAGTCGATCGCAGCAGCGACAGCAGCAGGCAACTCAGCTGAAGAAGCCGACGCGCCGACGTTGCCGAAGCGACAGACAGCACTGCCGGCCTCCCGAACCCAGCGGAGGAGACGTCGGCGGCCTAGAGATGCGACACCGCTTTCTTCGCAGAGTGCGGCAGGCGCTGTTGCGGGCGCCGCCGGCAGCGACGACGTGCCGTCTAGTGGCCCAGATGGAGATATGGCGAGCAAGCGCTTCGTCGCCTGTGGCCTCGTCATATTTCGAGGGGGGGGGGGGGGGAGGGCGAGGGGGGACGCTGTATGCCACGCCGGACGGTAGTTGCAGTGTGGAGTTGGGTGGTCCTCAGTCGAGCCCGGGTCGAGTGAAAGGGGTTGGATTGCGGGCTGTGGGCGTGGTTGCCGAGGAACGTGACTGACGGCTGCGGTGCTTGGTGCGATGGAGATGCCAGAGCTACAGGTCGGCAAGAGAGAGGCTATACCCTCCTGGTGAGTGGATGAGAGAGAGAGAGGAAGCGATACAACGAGAACCACCCACAGCAGTCGCCGGTCGTTGCCGACATGTGGTACTCGTGTTTCTCTATGCTACAGGTCTCTGATGTTTTTCTGAATGTGGTGTTTGTATTTTGGCGCACAAGTGCGCTCAGTTGTTTTTCGTGATGGACCAATGGCGCGCCGTCTTTTCGCTGTGGCAGAAACGGCAATAGCTTTGACGGTTACTGTGTTTTGGTTTACAGTAGACGTCGTTTTGATAGAGGCAAGTCCATTGGTACTGGCATGGTCATCAAAAGGCCGCGGGTGTTCCGATGTGCGTGCAGGTTCTCCAGGCTGATCTTTGTTGCGGTTTCATGACAGGCTCTAGTGAGAACCGTTTTGGAGCGGTTGGCGCTTCTCCATCAATACTTATGCCCACCGATTGCACCCTGTGCGCATGCGCCCGCTCCAGTTAATATCGTACGAATGTGCCCCGTGATTAGCGCAGGTTGGTCCCCTGAAGCTGGGAGTTACCCATGGTGGAGGCAATGCCCGGAAGCTGCTGATCGCGTTTGGGAGAGGGTCTCGTGGAGGTTCTCTTGGATGCTTTTCCTCTTCACACCGCGAACGACGGCCAGCACGGAGGTCCCTGGCGCCAACCCGGCCCAAATGCAAGACCGGACCATCTGCTGGCCGCGCTTCGGGTCACCCCCTGAAAGCGGGCAGGATGGGGATGATGATGGTAGCGGGTCGGCGGCGGGGAGTGGCGCACAACCTCCGGTTGCTGCTGGAGAAGGGCCTCATCCCTCTGCAGCAGCTCCTGCCCAAGCCGGACGTCGGGGGGGTACAGGTGAAGGCTAGGGAGGCGTGACACTCCTGTAGAAGGCCCAGAAAAAAAGCCTATTGGCTGTTTTTTTTTTTCAGTGGTTGAGTGGGGTGGCTTTGTTTGTTTTGCTCGGATGGCTTGCTCGTGAGTCAGCTTCCGAATGGAGCGATGGACTTCGTATTTCGTGTTGTTCTATGTCTGTACCCGACCACTTTTCTTGTCTTTCTTGGCGAGTGGTATACGTTCGTCTTGTTGAATTCTTGGTTGATGTCGGTTTGTGGGTGAGTTGTGACCACAGAAATAGATTCGTGTCCCTGAGGAGCGAAGATGATAGAACACGTGAGAACTGCATGATGTGTTTTTTCCGACCGACGGCGCGGCCGTGCAGGACAGAACCCTTCAGCCTCTCCGTACAAATTAATTTGGAGACATCCGCCATCGATGCCTCCGCTTTTAGTTTTAAGGGCTGTACATGGCGAAACGGTCGTCGATGCAATAAACCTTGGCGTAGCCTCCCTTATGCCCCCCCCCTCCTTTGCACGCGCAACCGGTTCTGCCTTTCCAGCTCGCGCCGGACGCGTGGGGCTACGCAACTTGGGTCTACTCATGCTACGTCAACTCGTGCCTGCAGTAGCTGTTGATGGTGGAGCCCTCCTGAGAAACGGAATCCTGAACCTCGGCGAGGGGAGGGGAGGCGAGCACAGCGCGCCGGACGGTGCGCGGCTGGAACGAAGAATAGCCTGTGGTTGTGGCGAAGCCTGATTCTTCTTGTCTTGCGTGATGTTTCTTGTTGCGTTCATGGTTACTTGCAAGCGGTGTGTGTCTTGTTCGTTTGGTGGATCTTGGCTGAAGCTGCATGTCACGTCTTTTTTGCTGACCTGAATTCGCCGCAGCAGCTGTGTGAACGCCTCGAAATCCCCGCAGAAAGATTAAATCAGGGAACCTGACTGATGATGGTGCGATGGATGGTCGCTTTGTGCTCCGACCCAGGCTTTGGACTTCCTCCCGTTCCTTCCTTCGAACGGTCATCGATCTTGATGGCGCAACACGATCGACGTGGAGATGCAGCGCGGAGGATTTATCGCTACAATGAACCTCTTGGATAAGATGGAGGTGCGTATCGCGTGTCGTGTCGTCACCTCGAAACGACGTGTGTCGTATGGTAAGCGGCTTGCTTGCGGCGGTAGGTTAGTTGTGTGTGCCACCAGCCATCGACGCACTTGTTGATGTGTGGAACGTCTTGTTGGTGTGACCGACAGCAAACATGATGGCGCAGCCAATAACCCCCAACCACCGATTTAGAACCTCTTCTCGCATCATGTGCCGCCCCGGTTTTCATTTGTTTGTTGATTTTTGTGCCCGGTCTCGCGGGGGGGGGGGGGGGGTGTACTCATAGTCGTGCATGCCGTAGTCATTAGACCATTGACCTCGCATCCCTACAAAGCCGGGACGGAGCACGCCGGGTTCTCACCGGACCAGGCTCTCACATCACCAAGCGCGAAGCGCCGTGAGGTATTTGGCGAGTCGCATGAAGGGTGAGCTGCATCCTGCTAAGGG